TTATGATAGATATGTGTATATCAATAAAATGAATAAAACATTAATAGAAGTAACATTGTCGATAGTTCAATTCGTCTTGAAGATCTCTATATTATGGGAAAAAATTGTATATATGGTACTATTTAAAAAATTCAAGATGATCTTCACTTTTTTAATAAAAAATAAAAATTTTTTTACTGCATATTGTAGCCCACATGAACAGATAAATATTCACCTTAAACCTTCCTTTTTAACTGTCGCAAGTATTTAAAAAACCGTGCTGATCGTTACATTGAGCACTCTATATCTATATATACAGGAGAAACAAAATGAGCAATGACTGCAAGATAAACAAAAAGAAACAGTAGAAAGATATAGAAAGCAAATAGGTTACAGAACTCAAGATTAGTATTACTTGTTCATCGACGTATATATCTTACAATTTCGTCGAAATTTTCAAATGACGAAAAAGCCTTTTCTCTTGTTTATAAATTACTTTCTTCCTTTTTTTTTTTGCTCCAAAGATTCGATGCAGTAGTTGTCTCCTTTTCCACTTTTTTAAAACATAATTTCGTTTCGTCTCGATCAGTTTTAACGAGAATAACGAGATCTGGTTTCGTCGCAGCTTTGACGCTTCACAATTCCTTCATTCTGTACACCGATCATTGCATGAATAGACACTAGATATTTATAATAGAATACAGTGGTAGAAAAACTACGCCGCGTAGTCACTATGTATTACAAAAACCTACAGCACACAGAACTACAGGCAGAATACAGCACTGTAGTATCACAGAGAAACCTGAGAGCAGCCATCCCGGCCTTTTTGCTTCAACCAGCTTCAACTCTCCATACACTAGCGCACCAACGTCCATTTCCGAGATACAGGAACTACGTTTAACTTTTGTGACACGTCGATAAAGACTGAGGTTACCGATAATACCGATGAAATACTATTATGCCGGCACGAGAGAAGTGTGAATGACATAAATAATATAGAACCAGACAGAAACCTGACTAACCTGAGAGAGGTCATGAAGACCTTTCAGCAGTGTAATCGCAAAATGCCTTGTGCACTACCGTTCTGTAAAGAAGTGGATGTAAACTTTACAACAATTGGGTCTATTTTTCGTTCCTGCACTGTCTGAACCAGTACGCACGGTGCAATAAGTTAAAGTGAAACAAATACATGATTTACCACGCAGTAGGCCGTTTTTGTTCAACTTTATATGCAAATTTCTCTTACACACTCTTGACTCCGCCTTTCGAATGGTTAAAGATTACATTCTAATTCGAGTATTTTGCAGTTTGTGCCATCTCCTTGTAAGTACAAAAAGTTTCTGCTAACCAGTTTCTTTATACTTTTATTTTCCAAATTATTGTAAACACAGACAATATAAATAAGAAGGAATCATATTGGATCTTATGTTATATACGCAACTAATAATTGTAGGAATTAAAGGCATACAAATTATTATGCATCGTCATCGACGTACTATCATATCTTTTTATATTTTTTTTTTACATTTTTTTCTATTACACAATATATTTTTAACCTAAAAAAAGAAACACAGGAAGTCACATTATAGGTTTTTCTTATAATGTATAACAATTGAAAATATTATTCGCTTCAATTCCCTTGAATTTCGAAATAAAAAATTATTTTGATTAAAACATGTTTCAAAAATATTCAAAAATAATGCGATATACATTTGATTTTAATTCTCGTCATTTCTTGGTTCCTAAATCTCTAGTGCAAAATATGTACTTGCATATATAATATAATAAAATAAGATTAATTCATTTAACAATAATGACTGTTAAAAAAAATAAATAAAATTTAAGAAGTCTCGAAGTGTTATTGAAATAATTTGATAATATTCATGTTTATCGGTAATCCTTTTAATCCCCTTGATTTTTATCTATGTATTGTCAGTATCATGATCCTGAATAACATTCAAAAGATGTATCAGTATTAATTATAATAATGATTTTAATATACTTTCGACATTGCTAATTTAATATTTATAGCATGCACATAATTAGATATAAGTACACTCAATAGCAAAATTACACCATCACTTGTCCCCCAAAAATAGGCAAATTTCAAAAGAGTGTAACTTCGTGAAAAATGATAAAAAAATTGTAAAAAGCATTCTAATACTTGAAATCCCTATTTTCGAAAATGGTAATTGATATTTTGATTTGATTAATTCTTTACGAAGTTATGCGGACACAAATGAAAGTGCGTCAAATCTCAAAAATTTTTACTAACTTTGAAAAGTTCCATGGCGTGAATTAATCGTATAAAAATTCGGTTTACAGCATTCAAAAGCGTGAACCTTAATTTTCTTTTTTGTTGAACTCTGTACGATTTTTTTTCACTGAGTTATTCTGTTTAACTTATTCTATTTAACTTATTCTATTTAATATTATTATTTAACGTTGAAGTAAAAATGATCCTTTCTTCTGATATTAAATGACTTCACTTTTGTTAAAAAACTGCAGGCAAACTTCAAGATGTAATAAAATAACTTCATCAAGAATCGTATCGATGTTTAAAAAAACCATTTTTAAGCTTAAAATTTTTACTTTTGATACTGGTTTCAAAAAACGGTATTACTAATATTTCGTGAAGTTACACAAATATAAGTGAAGATGCGTCAAACCTCAAAATTTTTTATGAAATTTGAAAAGTTCCACGACACGAACTAAAAATTCTGCACAAATGCGATTTACAACATTTAAAAGCGCGAATCTTTACTTTTAATTTATCTTTTCGTTGAGCTCTGTAGGATTTTTTTTCACCGAGTTATTCAACATTGAAGCAAAAGTGGTCCTTTTTGCTTTAATGTTGATTAACGTAATTTTCATTTTTGTACTTTATTGTTATTTATTTTACGTTGTATTTATTCACTTGCTTAATGTAGATATTGTTCAAAATGTTGATCTGTTGCAGCAGTGCAAGCATTCAGTACGTACACTCACAGAAAATATTTCTATGTTCAATGCTGTTACTTCAAGATCTAGCATAAAATAAGATTGACATAAAGCCAATTATATTTATTTTTCAGATAATAGAATATTTTAATCTTAAATGAAAAAGTCTAAAATTTAGACTAAAGTATCTTGATGTTAGCTCATTAATTTTCTTAATAGAAAAATTTAAGTTCGACACAATATTTATCACTTAAACATTCTTATTTTATTCTTACGGAAGGAATTTTATTTATATTTATTATTTTTACGAAAAACTGCAGAGCTCAATCGGGACTCGAACTGGGCGTCTCTCTGTTTCTTATCTAACGTGTTACACCACGAAAGCTTCGCTGCTTTGATGTTGTAGCATCGCGTACCTAACTGGATAGACTTATTCTAAATGTAAGAATATATAAATTTCGAAATTTATACGTGTTGTACTTATTTCAAGATAAAATGTCGATCTTATTTTATTCGAGGATGTAGAATACAAATTATTAATTTTATTTTAAAATAATCTTAATTTTAATGTACAGGGTTGAGATTAGATAAATTACGTCAAGAACTTTTTTCTTCTCCGTATTAGAAATCCTTTCTGAGAGAGTACAGCTCGTGTTGTAGCTAAACACTGAATTTTGGTGCGATATGTGGTGCATTGCTGCAGCCTTGATTCGATTTCTCAATTGTTCTCTTGAGTTGACTGACGACGAATAAGCTTCCTACTTTAGGCTCCTCCACACAAAAGAGTCCAATAGTGTCAGATCAGGTGACCAAAATACTCCTCCATGTCCAATTTATCGTTGTGGAAAATGTCTATCTAGTCAAGCTTGAATGGTGTCATGTCTTTTGTAAAATTTAATCGTGTTCTGTATATAACCAGGTTTATGTAACGGAAACTCAGATTATTGTAGCCATGTCAAATTTTTATTTATACATGGTTTTCGCATGTATTTTAATAAATGCATTTTTGTACTAGTGAGCTATATTTAGCGAAGCTAAATATAACAATATTTTATATTAAATTAATAATAAATCTATAAATTGTAATAAGATCTTAATAAAGTGTAACGAAATTTTACAGAAATTTTCATAAATTGTAATGAAATCTGAATAAAATTTTAATAAATTTTAATCTTAATGAAATAATACTGAAAGTAGGCCAATTGATAGAGATTTCAATATGAAATTCAGTAAATTTCAATATTATTTCATCATTATTCTTTATGATTCTTTATGAAGGAAAAAATTTCCATTAGGGAAATGTAGTTGAGATCTCATTGTAGTTGAGATGTTACAATATGTTGAAGTGTAAATGTTTTTTCAGCGTTGAATCTATGTTGATTTTCTTATATTGATTGTTAATGTTACTGCAACATTGAAACAACATTCCCATAAAAGCTCATTTGACTTTAAAATTTGTATTTAGAATTCTCTTTACTAAAATTTTATTTTTAAAATCAATATCAAGTTACCATTAATTCTAGTCTGGATAAAAGAAATATATGTGACTAAAATTGTACAATAAATAAATATATAATAATGTCACAATACCCAAATTCTGTTGTTAATCTTTGCTTTGTCTGCGTTGTCGATGCACATGCTTACGAGCACTGTAAAAATACAAAGTTATATCTCTATGGAACTAGTACTCACTCGACAAAAGATCGAAATGACTACCGTATTAGAATTAAGTGCTTTTAAATGTGCTGAATTTCTTATTTTTGTGTTTTAATAGTTATCAAAGTGCACAAAAAACTTAAATTAACGTATACTTTTCAAATCTTTCTTAATATTTTTTCATTTTTAAAGATTTTAAGTAATATTTTTATTATTTAAAAAAAAGCATTCTGAATAAAAATTAGTTTTTAAAAAATCTAATATTTTTTAAACGTTCATTATCTATATTAAAAATTTTAGCGCGCACGCACACGCATGCATGCATACACGCAATATATGTATTATAAACTTATTGAAAGCTTCCATTCAATTATATTATAATTATAATAGAGTTTTTGTGAATTTTATCTTAACCTTCCAACAGCTTACCTCTTTCTATTGGATTCCGAATCACTGGCTCCGCTGATTTTACTGTCATCTAATTCCTCACTAGAGGACTCATTCTCACTGTCAAACTTTCGAATGGAGCTTTTATCAAAATTATTATTATTTTTATTCATTGTCTTCCTCTCGCTTTTTTCATAAGACTTTCTGTTTCCTCTTCTTTTGCGTCTCTCATTAGAAATGTCACGTTTAGTTTCTTCTCTGCGTGATAATTTCTTCTTTTCAAACTTGTGAGAGTTATCGTGTTTATTTGAATTATGAGAGCTGGATGTCGAATATCCAGTGTCTTGGCGATTTTTTCTAAAATAAAGTTCATTTTATAAATATAAAATGCCAACGAAATATCAATACAATACTTTTGTAGATGCTAACTTTTTTATTTTATTATATAAACAAGATTTATAATAATTAATAGATATTTTTAAATTAATTAATGTTTCGCTGAAAAAATAACAATAAATACTTTTCTTTAAATTTTGCAAAATCTAATTCTTAAACTTAAAATGTCGACAAATATTTAATATCTCTTTTTACTATTATTTAAAAAATGAATAGCTATCTATTTGTAATAATAAAACGTATAAAAAAAATTTTTTTTTTTTTTCAAGTGATACTATATCTATTTATTATTTACTTAACTCTAATGATGACTATCTTATGTTGTAACTGAAGCCTTATCCAAGTGTGTGTGTGTGTGTAATATTTATGAAACTTTAAATGCGTAAAAAATGCAAATGATTTGATATCACAGTACGCCTGTATTGCATTTTGTCTCACAGAAAGGATTTCTAATACTCTCTGAGGAAAAAAAGTTCTTAGCTCAATCCTATACATTATAAAATTAAGATTATTTTAAAATGAAATCAATAATTTGTATTCTACATCCTCGAATAAAATAAAATCGACATCTTATCTCGAAACAAGTATAACACGTATAAATTTAGAAATTTATATATTCTTATATTTAGAATAAGTCTATCCAGTTATACTATACGCGATGCTACAATATCAAAGCAGCGAAGCTTTTGTGGTGTAACGCGTTAGGTAAGAAACAGAGATACACACCCTAGTTCGAGTCCCGGCTAAGCTCAGTTTTTCTTTGCCGAAAAATATAAATAAAATTCCTTTTACAGGAACAGAATAAGAATGTTTAAATGAAGAATATTGTGTCGAACTTAAATGTTTCTATTAAGAAAATTAATGAGCTAACATCAAAATTACTTTATTCTAAATTTTATAATTTTTTATTTAAGATTAAAATATTCTACTCTGAAAAATAAATATGATTGGCTCTAAGTCGATCTTATTTTATTCTAGATCTTGGAGTAATAGCAATTGAATATATAAATCTTTTCTGTGAGTGTACTTTTGCGGACAATTTGAGTTTTCTATACGTAAAAAAAATTTTTTTTATTGTTTAAAATTAAAATCCTAAAAGAAGTAAGTTATTTAATACATAAAAATGACAGGTTTGTACTACTATAATGAATTGTGTTCATCACGGAAAAAATTTCTGTTTAAATTAAAAAGATTGTGTGTGTGTGTGTGTGTGTGTGTATATATACACACACACACACACACACACACAAATATTTTTAACTTACACAGAAATTTTTTTGTGTGTATATATATATATACAAACACACATATACAATATACATATTATAACATACGTTTAACAATTGTTAAAATATACTAACCGTTTGGACCGACCGATATTTTTTGGGGACGAATCGAATTTATCGATATCTTCTCTCGAATCTTCAGTTTCACTATAATTTGCTTCTATATCTTTATCACGTCGATTTTTATATTTATTATTATCTCGCAAAGTTCTCATTCTTACATCTTTATACATATCACCTCGGGAAATAATTTTGATATTTGATATTTCTCTTTTACTATATCTCTTGTTCAGTTTGCTTTTGTTCTCGGTTTGTACTACATAAAGTCGATACAATTGCAGCAATATCACTAATGTGTTCTTGCACGTGAAGAATATATTCATATAACTAACTATCTGATAATGAATTATCAATATCAAACGAAATGCCAGAAATGGTCCGTCCTGCAAAATGTAAAATATATACAATTGATATATGTAGATATACACCCTCGGATCTCGGTTAGAGGTTTGGAAATACTTGCAATTTATCCGCATTTTACGAATACTTAAATATCTCAGTAAAAAAAGGCAGTAAAGGAGTTTTCAACCATGTATTTTAAAACACAAAGCTACATCTTTAAATTTGCATTTAAATTTTCTTTTCTACAACATTTTGTTTCTTTATTACATAAAATTACATAAAATCGATTTTGCGATATTTTTCCTATTATTTTCAAGCGCCACAGTTCGATAAAATATCACACAAAATTTTTTATAAAAGTATTTGAAAGTTAGTCTAAGCTTCCAAATAGTTTTTGAAAAATTTTAACGATACGATGATTTCTACAATAATATTAATTTTTTTTGTTGTATAAAATTTTATTACATAAATACTAAAAAATGTTCTTTTTAATGTACTTGATCTGTAAACATTTTTCAATATTTTCTTCAAGAACTTTTTTTTATTTATCAATTTTAAAGACTTTACACAACAACAAATTGATATCCCAGCGAAAAATCATCATACTAATTTCTTATGAAAAAAGCATTTCAAGCCTACTTCAAAATCAAGCAAGTTCAAAAAATTTTTATATTTAATTTTGTCGAATGATATTTCATCAAAATGCATTGCTTCAAAGTAAGTAAAAAGTATTCCAAAAAATCAATTTATAATTATATGTAATTTAAGAACAAAATGTCATAGAAAGGAATTCAAATGCACATTTAAAATCTTATTTTTGCGCTTCAAAATACGTACTCAAAAATTTTTCTACGATTGTTTTTTTTCACTGAGATATTCAACTTTATGTGAAACACATATATGTAATACCATATATTACATATATGGTGAAACACGAAAAAATGATAAATGTTTCCAAATTCTTCACGGCGTACAGTGCAAAATTTTACAATTCTAGAGAGATTTAATTTTTGATAATCAAACACTCTAATCAATTTTTTTGAAACTATGTGTATAATAATTTCGTGAATCGCTGATTACGAATCTGCAATTGAAATGTCCATTTTCAAAATGACTTTGAGATTCAATATAATGGCACATGAAAAATCAAAGTTTAATAAATTTTGTAGTTTTACATGTTATTATGTAGAATTTTTTTTATTATGAATTTGAAATTATATATATATATATGTTCTTTTTTTAAATAAAGATATTTTTTTATTTTTTTATTTATAAAATTACAATTTTAATTTTTTAAATATTATTTTTTCAAGAAGGTAGTTTTTTATATCAAATTGCTCAAAAATTAAAATTGATAAAATTTACACATTTTTATAAACTTTTTAGATACTGTTATTGAATAAAAAATGAATTTTAGATACTTTTTTTCATGAAAAGTTGATTTTTTTTATAACAGGTAAAGGTGTTAATGATTTTATTGTAAATACATTAGCCAGTAAAAAATTATGCTAATTCTTTTATGTATGTATAATAAATAAATCCTTTATTCCATATTAAAAATTAAATACTGCTATTTAATATGCAAATATGTCTGATTATTTTAAAATATATTTTATATTACTTATTATTAACACGTACTTGAAGAACCATGTTCAGAGCGATTCCCCATACATCAATGCTGCAGCAGCTTGTTTCCGTTCGGACTTTTTTTCTGGTAACACTGCCGGACGACAAACGAGACTTTCTAGACTTAGTGGCAGTTAGCACAACTGTGAACTGCGTCAGAGACCATGCCCAAATGCCTAATGTCAAGTATACAAGTACGGGCTCTCTTGCTATTCTATCTTCCTTGAAGGAATCAAAGAACTCGATAATATCAGCTGCAGTACCAATGTAGACTAATAGCAGCTGGCTTAACTGATCTCGAGTCAAGTCACCTTTTGGCAACATCCATCGGCCAATTATCAAAATTAGCATTAAGAATTGTTCAATTAAAGTAACCCATGTTTCTGTGGAAATTTGTATATTCGGTAAACGAATATCAACCTAAATAACAAAAACAAGCCTTTCTTTAATTAATATATATCTAATTAGATTAAAAGAATTCTAATAAGATTGCAATTAAGACCGTTTATGTGAGTACATCACGTAAATACGAGAAACGCCATTGACGGTCAAAGTTAGATTTTAAATTAATATACACATATATACGTATTTTTCTGAATGAATTTATTGCAGAAATATGATTGCACGCCGTTACTATCAAACTTTCAACGCACAATCTAAAATATTATAAATGATTCCTCCATTAATTACATCAGTGCTCGGAATTAGTTGCACATTTAGGATCGATTTTTGAAGCGACACCTTCTGTCTTCCCACTATCACTCGACAATGGAAGGCATTAATTGCGCAAACTGTACCAGCTCTGAGGCTGGAGTCACATGAGGCATATTTGCCGCGTATCGCGTAACTGCGTAACCAATCAGAAGCAATCTGCTGTTGTGGTTTCGTATTTTACTGATTACTGATTGGTTACGCGATTACGCAATACGCGACAAATATATTTTATGGAATTCCAGCATAATAAAGTGAGCTGAAATGTTTGGAATTCTAAGAATGGATCTGGGGAATAACCCGTGAAATAATTTCTGTATAGAAAGTGCACGTGGAAGTTTCAAGAGTATTATAATATATTAATAATTTTCCATTAAGTGTCTTATTTAGAGAATAAATAATATTAAAAATGACACGCACTCCTAGAGCTTCTTCCAAATGTTTTAAGTCACCAGCTGCCAGATTAGATAAATCGATATTCTCTGATATATTGAGATTCGTTCCGCGAGATTTCAGTCTCATGTCTACTTTATCCAGTTCTAATAACCAAATTGCAGGTACTACGCTACTAAGATATAAAAATACAGATGGACAGAACCTGGAAATATAACAATTGAAAATAATAATAAAATCTTACAAATTACATTTGTTTTTAATTACATTAGCATTAAAAATAGATCACAAAAACATATATTTGTGTATTACTATATTATTCTTAATTAGACAAATTAATATTGAACAAAAATATCGACTATAAAAAAATATATATATTATATATTCAGATATTTTAATCTATCTATATTCATTCCGAATGAATAGATATTATATCGCATGAATAGAATATATCGCACAACGAATAGATTCCAAAAAAAAACGCCACTTTCTTTTAGAGCTTACGAACGAAGATATGTAATACTTAATATTTGATCTCATTTGATGGAGAAACTAAGAAAGACTCCGTTTATTTATAGTTCCAATCCCTATTCCCTATTACAAATTACAAACGATAAATGGAACTCCTTCCTTTATGTCACAATGTACCGATTACCAAATGCATTCCTCAAAGAGTACAAAAATAGTGAATTATAAAAAATAGTCACCACCCAACTTTAAGATTTTTAATGTCGCTTATGCCATTCGAAAGAGAATCGTTTGTACCCGTTTGTACCTCCTTTATTTTCGTTTTTACTTCAAAGAGTTCGGAGATACAGCGTTTTTCAATTTTTGCTATATTGCGAGATTAGTCAATTTACAAAATATTGAAATGGGACCAACGGCATTCCAAAGAGAATTGTTTGTATCCCGTTTGTATCTCAAAGGGTTCGAAGATGCAATGCTTTTCAATTTTTGCGCAACCCATATACTTATTACGAAATTAGTCAATTTACAAAATATGGAAATGGGACCAACGCAACGGCATTCGAAAGAGAATCGTTTGTACCCGTTCGTATCTCCTTCATTTTCGTTTGTACCTCAAAAGATTCAGAGATACAGCGCTCTTCAATTTTTGCGTAATTCCTATATATTCTTTTGATATTCTCGTTTGCATAGAGTTATTGTTACGAGTTATTGTAGACGTAATTCATGATTTTTTCATTTCGCGAACATGCGATGAAATAATTAACTAAAATAAAACATGAACAAAAACTCGAACGTTAATAGTCACAGATCGTTAAAAGTTTTATTGTTTTATAAGAGTGGTTATAAAATATTAATATTTTAACAAAATGTATTTTCTGTTTATAATTGGCAAAATTTAAAGATTTCACATATTTTTTGAAAAAAAATTACTGTTACTTTGATAATTTGGGAAGTATGTTTGGAACAAAGTTGGTTTGAAGAAAGTCACTTTTTTCCTCAAAGAGCACACATACACTTGGCGTCTTTTTTTACCTTTTTGTTAAAAAAGGTAATTTTGTTGTGACACATGATATGTAACATAGCAAATAATAAAGTTGAAAAATATTGTAAAAAGGTTTTTGAGCGTTAGTGTACGTTGTGACGATGTTATGCGCTAGATCTAATTCGATTGATTGATGAATCAGGTAACGGAATAAGGTCATGGCTCGCTTCTTCACAGATGTCAATAATTTTTGATACGCTTGCTTGTATCCCGAACAAAGTAGATTCTAACTCACCGGTTCATGTTACTAATGCTCTAATTTCCGTTTGTCAAACTGACAAACGATCTCACAACATATACGCCCTTTCCGAGGGATCCCTTTACATTAATTTTCGCAATGATAATGCTATGATAATCTCTAACACAATTTTGTGATTATAATAATATTTTCTATACTAACTAATAAGAATAATATGATGATTAGGTAATGATACAATAAGAAATAACAAAAGTAATTTTTATATTTTGCTTTTGCAGCTAATTTTATGTGCATTCAAATATTTATTAACGTATCCTCCAAAACGATCATAAAATAAGATAACATTTAATTATACAGGGTGTCTCCTAATCCTTAGAGTGAACTAAATTGAGTCAAAAAATTTTTTATCATTTTGCAATTTTTATAACAGTTGATGGAATATTAATTTCTAAGAATTGTTGATCAAACGGGTAAAATCAAAGGATAAGACAACTTTATTTTTCAGAATATTTATGAAATATTTTAAACATGTTTCTCTCTTAAAGAACTTTTAAAGATATCTTAAAGTTATCTCGTGCGTCGATTTTTTATATTCTGCTTATTGTAACAAAAAAACTTGCTGAAAATTACAAAATATTAGAGGCCTCTACTCATACACGAGCACTGTGTCAATAATTAGATGACACCCTGTATACTTTACAACTAAATAATATTCTACTTATAATATAAATTGTTCAATGTGATAGTAATAACCTTACAATATATCATTTTTGTCCTTTTATAAATAACAAATCTTATAATTTATAGAACAATTATGTCATGAAATAAATACTTTAGTTCTATAACCAATTAACTATAATTATAATTTTAACAAAATTGCATGTAGAAATGTAAAAATCTTATGTAGTATTTATTGTATTACATATAAATATGAATAAAAAGGCTACATATTAACTCTAGTATACAGTTGATCTGACTGTTGAATTAGTACACAGTTCTAAATTATAAATATCTAATTAATTCTGGAATTTTATAGATTAAAATTTTGTTAGTATATACAATTAGCTAAAGAATTATATTATTTATTTAGTTCTTTGTATGTACACTTATAAATGAAAAATAATTAGTTAAAAATCTTTTTATATATTTCCGAAAGTTAAAGAAAGTTATTGAACAATTCTTAATTTCATCATATTTTTATATAATTATAACTTCTTGAAAACATAACAAATGTTTGTGATAATTCACATACCATTTCCATTCCTGATTTTCCTTTATAGTGAGCGTAAAAATACCCTCGAAGAACATCAGCAGAATAGGACAGCTCAGGTACCAAAAATATGGATTTCTCTTGAAAGTCGTTACCTGCCAAATTGCGATGAAACCATGCGATGCAAATACCAAGCGCGTAATTATTGCCTTTATAGTTGCCAAGAATTTTGCCATAGTCGTTATTTTTTATACTGCTTTATGATACTTTTTATAATTCGTATATATTTTGAGAAGTAAATAAAAGTAATGACACTCAGATTAACTCTGTACATACACGTTTACAATTCTGCTACTAAAATCTGTTTCACATAGGTTTAAAAAATATTATAATTTAAAAATAAGTTGTAATGTTTGTCGTTATAAATAAAATTAAATGTACAAGAAAATAATCAGGGAAGATGTAGCGTCCAAACCACAGTTCTCTAAAGACTAGTATAAACTCTCTTCACGCGATGCGCACATGCGCCCATTGGATCTTCCAAATTATTATAGAAGAAAGACGCAGTTTTCTTTTCTGCGAGAGTAGAATCATACAATATTAAAAAATTCTACATAAAGTTTCCGAAACAATAATTTGTAACATAAAAATTGTTGACGATACTAACAAATGCAATTATTAAACAATGTATATAAAGAAAGGCAAAGAGCCAATATTTTACAAAAATTAACAGATAAATTTAATTTATTATAAACATGTGTTTCGACTTCGATCAGGTCATTCTCAATGTTACAGTAAAAATATTGCTTTTACATTCTTTAATTATATTCTTTCTAGTTTCTTGTACGAACTCTTATTATTATGCAATGAAATTCTATTAACATTTGTATATCTCTTTAAATGTGGTGGAATTAAGTTATATTTGATACAATTTTTTATAAACCTAATTTATTCTGATGTTAATGCTTGCTTTGACAATATTGCAGAATTCTTTTAAAAAATAACAGGTATCATAAAAGGGTGTGTCATGAAAGAGGTGTAATATATGGTGTTGTCGATAAGATATTCCGTTTGTGTCATCCAATTAACATTTCAACAAAATAATTTAATAGATGCTATCAACATTTTTTTACATAATGGATATCTTCTACATTTTATTTTTTCTACAATTCATAATCGAATTAAATTCCATATTAATAATATTAATTCTAACAATATTTAAAAAAAACATTTTTTTACTATTCCTTTTGTTAATACAATTTCTGATAAATTTAAACCTATTGCCAATATGTTTTAGTGCAAACTTGCTTACATTATACCTAACACACTGAAAAATTATATAAAAAGAGGAAAAGATAAGTTGGAACATACAATCAGAATGTAGTATATCAAAATACCCAGTGAGAATTGCGATGCTAGTTATGTTGGGCAAATTAAGAGACAATTAAAAACTATATTGAGTGAACATGTCTCAGATATTAACAAAGGTTCAAAATTCCCTTCAGTAATAACTAACCACAGAATTGAATTGAATAGTATAACTTTAAATGGGATGTTGAAATTTTAGATATAGAATCTTCTTACAAAAAAAAGATTAATATCTAAGATGATTCATATTAAGAAACAGACACATGGTACAAACAGACAAAACAATAGAGTCATTGCCCGAAATGCATGTACATACACCAACATGATACATTTCCTTTCCACATCTTAAATTGTTTCCTTTTTGTTTCCTCTCTTTCCTCTCTTGACATTCTCTACCACCGACATTATATAAAAGAAAATAATTGAATAAGGAATTTCCGATAAAAATCTGTTTTTATTTATATGAATCCTTGTATCACTTACATAAACTCATGTCCTTTAATATTTCTTAATTTTTAAAATTAAATTTAATAACTTAATTTTAAAATGAATTTTTTATAGGGGAGAATATCCTAAATCGGATCGTGTTCCAAATCGGACATTACTTTAAATAAATACAGTTAAACAGATTTGCGTGCTATTTATAATGTAAAGTTCTTATAAAACACTGAACATATGACAGTAGTTTGGCAGTACTCTGTGTCATAATAATGTTTGTAGAATAGACGCAAATATTTTCGGCTATCATGCGAAAATTTTTTTAAAAAAGAAAATCCTTGTAAATCTTATTTAAAAGATGTTAAAAATTTGAATGGTAATTGATTTAAGATAATTAAAAGGTGTAGAACTCAAAAATATTAAGAGTTTTGTGATTATTTTTGTGATTTATTGTAAAATTTGTTCTAATGGTTCGAAAGAACCCGTGTCCAAGTCGGATCTATACAAAAAACACTAAAAAGATGAGTAAGCCAGTTAATTCATCTAAGAAAGAAGGTTGTCATAACCTGATTGTAGCACTGGTGATCGACCGACCAGATCTGGTCTAAGGAACACTAAATCAGTAAAATGTCATGTGTCATCAGACTAGATTGATGGAATTTTTTATTGATTTTAATTCTAATAATATAAACTGTATTTTTATTTTTGAGTCTTAAATTGCTCATTTTTACTCAATACTAACAAAAATTAATTAAAATATTTTAAAATTCTAGCTAAAAGTCAATAAAAATAGGAGCGGTCCAATTTGGAACTATGAGTTCCAAATCGGACTGGAAAATGCGTTTTTACATTTTCCATTATAGTTCGACACAGGTAAGAGATACGTCAAAATGGTTTCAAGAAAAAATGAAGGAAATTAAATGATCTTTCGAATGGCAGTATTGGTTTTATCATCGGACTTTATTTACGCCTTATAGAAAACAAAAACTGCAAATAGGTCCGATTTAGACCACTCTTCCCTATATTGCACAAAATTTTATTTTTAAAATAGTTATAAATTTAACAATTTGTAGTTCATGTAATCGGAAATAATTATATGTATATTGTGTATTATTACTTTTTGTATATTATTCCTACACATAATAATATTTATTTTTGCATAACAAAAATTGAGTGAGAAAAATAATAGCGAGGCTATAGAGCGTGTGTATATATATTTTTTTAATTTTTAACTTTTACAATCATCGACATTTACTAAACTATATCCCTACAGCCGAGCATCGGCTATAGTCGATAGCCACCCAGTCTTTTCGTAACAAAATAATGTACTCCGGTCGTGAAATAATACATAACGTTGTACGGCTGACTGCGGTTGATGATCCCCATACTGAGGCGTGTTCAGATTTCCACCCGAGTGTTTCCCGAGTGTCATGTCATCCTTGTTTAACATTTGATAAACAATAAGGATAGAAAGATACCTGGATGGCAATCTGAATCGGGTGTGAATCTGAACATAGCCCTGGGCTGTGTTCAAAAACATCACCTGAGTGCTCCTGTATATCGTTTTATCGTTGTTGTCCAACCATGTTAAACAAGGATAAGACGGATACACGGGAGCACTCGGCACTCGGGTGATGTTCCGAAAAGAGTTTAAAAAAAGTGCCACGAGAGAGAGAACTCGACCTACTATTGGTCGACTAAAATCAGAAGTGGAGAATGAAAAATTGATTACAATGAGCGGAAAAGATTGATAGTAACGAACGAATGACACTAACGAGGTTAACAATAACAAGCACCGACTGTATTAAAAAATTTTAGCTTTGACATTTTTATACTATACAATGATTTTTCATTATTATCTCTAAAGTGAATATAATTTTCTAAATTCATAAAACAAAATATCTCGTAAATTATTAACTTTTTGATAATTGTATCTTAATCACACATAGACTGAGATAAATTAATTAAATAAAGATAAAAACATAGTTGCTTCTCAAATAATTAATGCAATTTGCAGTTAAAAAAAAAAATTTTTTTTATACAAACTAAGGGGCTTACTCTGTAACTTTTAACGACTGCAACGATATTGTTGCATTATCATTGCGTAGGTTTTGTATACCGTAAAATAGCTGTGCAACGATAATTTAACGATATCGTTAAAGTCATTAAGAGTTACAGAATAAGTCCCTTATCTATCATATTATTTTACACATATGTAATGAAACATTATGAAAAATACAATTATCAAAAAATTAATAGTAAATTATTAATTCTTCAATATTCTTACTTTGATATTTTTATATATAGAATAATTAAAAGAAATTATGTAAAAAAATTAATAATATTTAACGAGTATTCACAACTTTTTGACACTTTTGCCTAGAAAAAAAAACGTGACCAAAATGTGTCTCTTCAAATTTTTATTTTTATATAAAACTTTTTCTGTACCATCTACAACTTCGAAGAAAATTGATAGGATGAAAATGGAATACTATACATGACAAAAAATATATACCTACATATAACAAAAATATATGTATGTATAAATCTGTAGCCCTTTGAGTTACAAAATACTCAAGATAGTACGAAAAAAGTAAACAAAACGACAAAAAGAAAAAGCAGAGAAAGAAAGATATTTTTATCATTTTATTATTTCTAAAAAAAAATAGAATTTTCTGAATTCATTAAATAGTGTAAAAACGAATCACCATATTATTTGATCTAAAATTCCTTAATATTTTCATTCTGCTATTCCTGTTTTCCAACACCACTTTTCTTAGTTGAAAAATAGGATATCTTTTATATATCCGAATTTGCTATATTAAAAATATTGCATCATTTATCATCAGGTATAGGAGTATTACAATTTCCATGCCACAATTTGGTTTCCGAATGGCATTCTGAATAATTAGCAAATACATCTGTGTAACCACGATCACGCCACCATGTACAAAGTTGTCTGTTCCAACCACAATCTATCATATGGATCAATTCTGGTTTTTCCATGCCTAGAAGCGTATAGAAATCTTGATCGCCTAAATGACCCTATAACAAAATAGAGAAATCATTAATTTTGTCACATTAATTAATCAATATGAGCAACAAAATGTCAAGCATATCCTGTAATCTACTTTATATTTATGTACGCATATTTACAATTATTTTACAATTTTATATATATAGCTTTTAATAAGTTGTGATATTGTTCAATCTTACCTTGAAGTGATATTTCTTCGTCATAACATCCACACTATCTTTACTGATAATTTCATTGTATACACGTGACTTCCGTAATCTTTCCAAATTAAAGAGCACCATCCCACTATTATAACCAGGATATCCACCTTTATGTCTGGGTTCGCCAAATATTGTTGTTGGATGTTTATTACGATATAAATATAAAACATGTCGGTAAACTGGAGTGAGCTCTGGAGCCAAGCCAAACAAAGCTTCCTCCCCGAACTTGTTAAATTCTTCGAACAAATCTTTTACATCTCTACGAAATTTTGTGTCTGCATCAAACATTACGGCGAGTTTCTGATGATTGGGTGCAATTCTATGCAAACCCAGCGAAATAAAAAACAATGCATCAGAGTAATATGTTCCTGGCTTGCTGCTAAAATGTGGCGACATAACCGATACAATATCCTCCAATTGTGCAGCTAGTTTATGTACATTGTAATAAAATACCTAAGAAAAAATAAATGTTTTAATATTTCAATTAAAAATAAGATACACAAGATATAAAAGGACGTACTTTCATAAATTTTCCAGTACTGATCATAACATTTTTGATCACATTCGCAGCTATGTCTTGACTATTATCATCACTTATCACATGAAAAGTAATGTTTATGGAAGCAAATCTGAGCAAAGATTCTGTGAACATTTGGAATTTCCGTCTCATGGGCGAGTTTGAGGCAACTTTGGTAAAAATACACCATATGTTATAATAATTTGTCTGATTTTGTGGTAAAATGCGCGCTGTTGAAGACAAATAATTAACAGAATAAGCAGTCACTGCTGAGGCAGCCGTAAGATTTGCCAGGCTCGCATTTTTTGTTTGTAGGTTGAATATGATCCAATGTCCTCCATCAGACGTCTGATAGCAATACAGAGCTACCAAGAGTAACACGAGGATCGTCAACCTCAGTAGCACCTTGAGTAACAAGGGCATTTAATTTATATCTTTTATTTTCATAACCTGAAAAAACACAAATGATTTTTCAACAAGAAATAAATTCTAAAAATAAAAATAAAAATATCCAGATTGCCCGAAAAAAATAACAGTTTTATTTTATATTTGTTTCCTAAATTTTTACTAATTTGTTTCTATTAGTTAATATATATATATATATATATATATATATAGTCAAATAATTTTTAATTTTAACTTTATGTTAAACTAATCTAAGCTAATTCGCTTAAGATTTCCTTTTAAGTTAAAAAAATATTAATCTCAAACTATAAATATAAAAAATTAATAATTACGTGAGCATGATCAGTGTTTTCATTACCACAGCATTATTCATCATGTTATCTGATTTGAGGTCCATTTACAATAGAATTGGCATTAAGCAGTAAAGTTAGATGTGAGCAGTAGGACAATTTTTACAATCATGTCTGTTGACAATAAAGACAATGTAGTGGAAGCAACAATATAAAATTGACTAAACAAGAAAACAGGCCATTTAAAATTACATGTAAAATAGTGATATAGTTTGCTCAGCAGTTTGTTTTTTCGCAATAAGCTATGAATTTGATAAAAGCAGTAAATTATAATAGAAATTTATAAAAAGTTTATTGTCACTCTTATTCGTTATATTTTAAACAGTTTTATTAATCTTCAGTCAAAACAATTAACTTTTTTTAATTTATTACATAAATGTATAATAATTATTACAGTAGCCTTAGTAAAAAAAATCGTAGAAATTATTGAAATCCTACAAATGAGAAATGAAAATGACTGAAATATTATTAAAAATTTTAGCATAAATAATATTTTTAATATTAAAATAAATACTATGAATATTAAAGATAATTAATGAAAAGTAAATCAGCAAGTTTGAGACTTTAGAAGTTAAGATATCACATATTAACTGTATATATATCACTATGTAAATATACTTCAACATTAATTAATTTCTAAAAATATTCTGTTTTAATTATATAATTTATTACTTTAAAAATATAAATTTAAAAATACACTAATATAAAAACACAAATTCTCTGCATTAAAAACAAATTTTCTGCTTCAAAATACAAATTCACCATTTTAAATACACAAAAATAATATTAAAAAATTTGTGTTTTTGAAGCAGTGAATTTGTGTTTATGAAATATTGAATTTGTTTTTAAAACAGAAGACTTGTTTCAGAGCAGAGAATAGTTTATTATTTTAAATCTATACCTTTTTAGTTTTTTTTATATAGATTATACAGTTTAAATCCAACATTTCTTTAAAATGAACGCTGTAACTACAAACACACGATTCCGTTGTTGTTGCCAAAATTCTTAAAAATTTTGAAAAATGGGTAATTGTGCAGTTTAGCCAAATCCTCTTCAAAATCGATAAGATTATGCTCAATTGTCGCGTTCTTGTCCAAAACGAACGAAATATAAATTCAGCAGAGAAAAGCGTCGCTCTGCCCCATGAACCGAGACATTAATCAATATTAATCGTTAAAGTTGACAACTATTGAGGTTAGAAAATCTGCCACAACCGTGAAATACTGCAAACAAACTGAGAGCATATCAAAAACATAGAATGGAGTGTGCGATTATGAAAGACTGCGTTCGGAAACATCACCCGAGTATCCCCGTTCACCTTCTAAAGGCCGTAGCACAGACTCTGCATAACGCAATGCATAGTGCATAGAATCAACTAATCGGCAATCAGAGTCCTTTTCCTCCAACGTCACGTTACCTTTTTCTTCACACCTAATTAAGAAAAGGATATTTAATATTATATATATATATAACGCTTATTTATTTTTTAATAAAAATATTCTGAAACTTCAAATATGTGTAAATATGTAGAAAAGAAAAAAGTTCTGTCCCACATATACAAATACCTTTATACTTTATTTTATAAAAATTGCAAAAATGACGTAAAGTTTGACTTCTATACTAACTCCCTTATATGTTCTGTAGCGTCGAGCATTATCATAAAAATGTACTTTTATGTGCTTTTTACGACCGTTTTCTGACTGAGGAAGGCTGAGGGGGGGGAGAGGCAATAAAAATAACTTCGTCTCATTTTTACAAGCATTTCGAAACGATTTCATTAATTTGTTTTATCCAAATTCTCTTTATTTACAAATGGCATGCAAGAAACTTCAACATGTGTTGTTTTTCGCTTATGACATGACATCACCATCCTATATAGCCACGGCGACTACTCAGAGAAGTCTTAATAAATTTTTAATGGTAACGCGATAAGTTATATATCAAAAGTGAATTATAACGGTAGCGTTATCGTTACCATGATGAAAAATTGTAAAATAATGACCAAATCATTGTGAGGTATACAAAAATAACGATAAAGGTAACGGCGTTATTTCCCACAATTGAGATTAATTTGTTCTATTTTGTTACAATATTCTATGTGCATGCATGCACGCCCCGCTTGTAGATAAATAGAACAAACTCGAACGTACACCTATTAGACATTCTGTATACAGCCTTTACATTTGTATGTTATACACTAATAAATAATATAATTCGTACATGATTGGAAAGAACATATAACATGTTTTTATTTAATTATCAAAGAGAAGATTCATAATAATCATTTACAATCAATTATTTATAATTTGAGGAGTACAGATATGTGTTTCCGTGTAAAACCAATACAGAATATCCAAATTACAATGAAAAAGTTAGTTGTAATTATACATTTAGGATATTCAATTAATATCCACAATAAAATTCCTTTTTAATACTTATGTGTATATATGTATATATTTCCATATGTACACACACACACGCACACATGCACACACGCACGCGCGCACACACATATATACATGTATGTACCTGTGTTGCGTGTGTATTGTTAACACTGTGCGCGCGTGCACATAAAATTGTATCTCTTAATGGCATTCATGAAAACAATATCTCTAAATCATCCATGTCTGACAAAGAGAAATCATCAGACAGATCATGAATGTCAACATTAGGATCATAATCTGCACTATCATCACCAGAATCATCTTCATCTCCACCATCCTCATCATCGCCATCATCATTATTTTCTCTGTCATTCTGATCGTTATCATCGCCATCCTCTGCACCAGCATCCGCATTATCACCATCTATTTTCACAGAAGGTAAATAAATTGTAGTTTAAAAAATATTACAATTTAATTTACAAATATACAAAAACTTGAGAAATTAATACTAAGATATAGTAATATTAAATTACCTAAACTAGTGGTAATAATAATACTAAAATACACAAAGATCTTAAGGGAATCCTAAAGTCGGCTGTATTATTGACTAAATCATATAATTTTTGTATAACAATTACTTTTTTCTTCTTTTAAAGTATACGGACTAATATGTGTCTGAGGTGGATCTATTCTAAAGACAGAGAATTGCAAAATTGAGTTCTTTATAACGTATAATAAATTTAGACAGCAAAAACTCCTGTAGGATAAATCAAATATAAACTTAAGTCTGTTTTTTGTTCCTGTACTGTCTGAACTAGTACACGGTGCAGGGACAAAAAACAGACCCTTGGAAAGAAAGGGCACTAGGAGCCAGGCGCTGATAACTTTATGTAAATATTCTTACATAACAAATATTCTTTATTATAATAGATGCGCTTACATGTCTCGGCTCACTTTTGAGCTCTCTTCAGAGACAATGTAAAAATATAAATAAAATTAAATTAAAAAAGGTTCAAGAGATATTTTATCATAGTGAGCTCCCCCACAACCAAGAATTTAAATCTGATGTTAATTCATCTAACAATATATATTACATAAAGGAAAATAAAAAGATAAACAAAGATTTAAATTTGGTTTATCTTTTTATTTAACTGTTACGTCGTTCACGTTGTGACAACATTTGTTTCAAATAAAAGCAATCTATACTTAGAAAATAGTAGTCCACAGACTAGTAATTTACATGAAGAAACAGCGTAGAGTTCTTAAAATTAGCCATAAATGTCTAATTAGAACGTAACTGTTATATGAAAATTTATATATGGCGTGTGTGAATGAAATATTTATGTAGTAATGTGTCAATGACACGTAATCGTCTATGTGTAAGTGCTGTTTCCAATATGATTAATCGTCTTTAGAATCCCCTTAATGATAAATATTTTGATAACATAATAGATGTAAAAGCTAGACAAAGGAAACGGAAATGGATCAGAGCAACGCGCGCGGGCGCGCGTGTGTGTGTGCGCGCGTAGAGATTGGGGTCAATGCGCTTCTTGTACGTTGAGTTTTGACAGAATCGTTTTTCACAATCGGAATAGAGAGTGTGTAGATATATTGTGTGGTTTTGCGATTAAAAATGTATATATGTTGCGGCATTCGAATTGGATTAAGTAGGCTATGTGCATTTGTAAATACGTATATAGTTAATTTTGTTTATTGTATGCGGATAGATTGAAAACGGAAGTTCTTATAATTCCATTAGAGAACAATAAATATGATCTGTCTATTTATCTATCTATTAATATAATATTAATTTTTACCATCTGCGTTATCAGATGCATCATCGTCACTGGCATCAAGATCGTCTTCTTCATCATCCTCATCAGCTTCATCTTCATCATCTCTTCGTCTTCCCACATCATATAATCTAACACATGATTCCTGTATGCTGGAAAATTCACCCATATTTTCTACTATAGCAATTTGAGTGTCAAATTTGTTGCAGGCAAGACCATAAATGCCCCTTTTTACATCACAAGTTGCTGAAATATTAATATATGAAAATAATCATAACCTTTAATTAATTATTTATAACAAAAGTAAAATTTATCGCATAAAATAAAACTTATATTATCTTTTAAATATATGTAATAATAATATATCCTTGTGTTTTTTGAGTAGATATAATAATAAGCTTCTCTCTCTCTTACCAATATTACTATAATCTAAAGCATCTAGAGTTTTGAAAGATGTTGCATAATGAGAATCATTTTCATTGTCTTGGTCTAATGCAACGGCATATATAATATTGTTGATTGGTGAGAAGATCACTTCCATTTCATCAAGAGTAGGAACTGTCTTAAGTAAGTGAAATGTTCTCAAATCCCATACTTCAGTATTAGATACAACTTCAGTTCCATTTGGATGAAAAACTCCATTTAATATTTGATTCAATTTATCGAATTTATGAATTTCTTTGCCTGAATTAACATCCCATAATATGCCATCGCTAAGTACTAATTCGTCATTCATACTAAAAGTTGCTCTGTTTTTAGTATATTGATTTGAGATAGATGGAGTCAAAGTTGTTAATAATTTTCCAGTTCCTATATCATATATCTATAATAGAAAGTATATGAAATAGCGTTTTTAAAATCTTTTAATTTAAGATATAATGCAATTACAAAGTTGAATATAAAACGCTATTGTTAACTTAATTGTTAAAATAATGTCATTTAAATTAACAGTTAGTAAATCTGCATTATACGATGAAGTTAAATACGATTAAATGCTAATAGAATCACACATATATTTACCGTCGCACTCTCGCCTTGGGTACCAATTATTCTGTCCTGTAATTTGCTAAATTCAACATAATCTTCATTTTCTAAGGGAAATTTCATTTCAAAGAATGCTCCTATATCCCAGAGTATTGACATAGGACTTCTCCAAGCAGTGGTGGTCAACAAAAGATTACCACGCTGATTACATTCCATATGATACACATATGATTCATGACATTGATAAGTTGCTTCTTCCATTCCTGTATGGATATTGAACATTTTGATGTCTCCAGTTTGGGTGCCCAAAATGAGATATTGTGTGCAAGGCTGCATTCAAATATATGATTAAAGAAAGATACAAAACAATAGTATATAAAAACCAGAATAATTTACAATGAATTAAAATTTACCGAAAAAGTACAACAAGTGAAAATTCCTCCTACATCAGTAGGCCGAAAAGTTTTTATAGGGCAAAAACGGCTATAAATATGTCTTCTATCTAATCTTCTGCCATCCATTCCTAATGCTCGTCTCGCTAATCTCACTGTTACATTAGTAGGTGAAGAATTTTTTGTACATGGGTCTGGACATTTATGTGGTCTATAATATTAATGAAAGTCAGATATGTCAAATTTAAACTGCTGTACCACCGAGCAATAGATAATGAGGACATGCACGCTAAAGGCTACATCTATCGTAATGTTTATCGTAAACTCTTTACAATCCTTGCGACAGCCAATTAGAAGCGTTATAATATACATTGACGTTTCTAATTGGCTATCATAAGAATTGTAAGGTGCTTACTATAAACATTACAATAGATGTAGTTGGGCCTTAATAGCAAATTTGATTGGACACACTAGTACGCACCGGTGCATATTAAAATTGTACAGGGGAGAGCGGTCTAAATCGGACCTATTAGTTTTTGTTCTCTATAAGGCGTAAATAAATTCCGATCATAAAACCAATGGTTCCATTTAAAAGATCATTTAATTTCCTTCATTTTTGTTTGAAACTATTTTGACGTATCTCTTACCTGTTTCGAACTATAATGGAAAATGTAAAAACGCATTTTCCGGTCCAATTTGGAACTTATAGTTCCAAATTGGGCCGCTCCTATTTTTATGGACTTTTAGATAGAATTTTTAAATATTTTAATTAATTTTTGTTAGTATTGAATAAAAACAAGCAATTTAAAACTCAAAGATAAAAATACAGTTTATATTATTAGAATTAAAGTCAATAAAAAAATTCCATCAATCTGAATCTGATGACACATGATATTTTATTGCTTTAGTGGTAGTTCCTTAGACCAGATCATGTCGGTCGATCAACAGTACTACAACCAGGTTATGACGAACCTTCTTTCTTCGATGAATTAACTGGCTTACTCGTCTTTTTTAGTGTTTTTTGAATAGGTCCGCGATTTGTTCTTTTGAACTATTGGAACAAATTTTATAGTAAACCACAAAAGTAATCATAAAACTCTCGATATTTTTGAATTTTACACTCTTTAATTATCTTAAATCAATTACCGTTCAAATTTTTAACATCTTTTAAATAATGATTTACAAGGATTTTCTTTTTTAAAAAAATTTTCGCATGATAGCCGAAAATACACATTTGCGTCTTTCTATAAACTAATTATGACAGAATACTGTCAAACTGCTGTCATATGTTCGGTTTTTTATAAGAACTTTACATTATAAATAGCACGCAAATCTACTTAACCGTATTTACTTAAATTAAGAAGGTTCGATTTAGAACATTCCCGTACTAATTTGAATATAATGAAATAAAATGCAAATATTTCGAATGATAAAACGTTCAATACATTTTTACGAAGCAACACAATAAAAGCTCTATTCCAAAATTTACTACTAATACTGAAAATCTATAATGTACATAACATAAAATATAGATTTTCAATACTGGCAGTAAATTTTGTAACACAACAAAAGTGTACTGATAATAAGGGGTGCTTTCCATCTGATAACACAAGTCAAACGACAAAGCGTCGTTCTATCTTTCTTGACATTCAGAGAGTGACAAAGATAGAATGACACTTGTGTCGATTTGTGTCATCAGATGGAAAGTACCCAAGGTTTAGCAGTTTAATATATCTTCTTTTTACATTAAGCCTCTGACCTGTGTTACATCTCTCTCATATACTTATGATACGCATGCTGGTTACTCAATTGCCACGAGCATATGAACCTACAGTTTTTAATACCGGTTCCGAACGGCGGATTTTTCGAAAGGTGTTTCTGGGGGCAAGGATACTCTCGGAAGGTTGCCAGTCTTTCCGAGAGGAGACACGAGCATAAATATGTTGATTCCTACCAAGGATTGAACCCGAGACCTCTGACATAACAGACCAGTACGCTATCTGCCATGCTACACTCGCGTTCCAGTTTAATATATATTTATATTAAATGTGCATATTTACATTTAATTTATGTATGATGATTTTAATGTGCACTAGTGTGCATTAGTGTCTTTATCGAATTCGCTATGAGAGAGCAATACACGTGTGAATAGTAATTGAGATGCTATTGGGTTCAAATACTGAGAGTGGAGTGAGAAAAAGTCAGAAATTCGGATATGGTGCGTATAAAAAATTTGTAGCAAGAATCTAGAAATACGAATGCAAGATTTTATTTCGATAAAATAATTTTTATCCTTGTCTTAAATGATTTTCAGGGGTTTAAAGTCATTCTATATTATTTCAATTAGATTGATCGATTCAAAATTTTTGAAAAATAATACCTTATACTCCTGAAGATATAAATATAGCTGGCAGCAAAGATAAAAATTATTTTATCGAAAAATTTTACAAGCATATTTGTAGACTATAAATTTGTAGACTGCTACAAGTTTTTCTGTCAGGACCAAATTTTCAACTTTTGGTTTTTTACTCTAATCTCATGCACTGTGACTCTCTTAATTGCTCGAAGGTACAGTGATTTAAATCTGCATCACTGATTAAAGTACATAAGCAAAATAAAACAAATAATCGCATTTGCACATTATACAACTATTTTATTTATAAATAGAAAAATATTACTTACTCAAAAAGATTGAATTGTGGACACGTTACCATAGGATTTTTGCACAAAGCATGTTGATTGGTTAAGTATTCTGTAATAATGGAATCGAGAGTAACAGATAAATTAGAAGTGGCTACACCAGGTCCTCCACCACTACCAGGATCTCTGAAAATCTGTTTCTGTAAAGATCTACAACTAGTTGATTGGGACTGTAGTATCATAGACTGATAATTCGTTGGAATGATTAGAGGTTGCCTTTCAGATGACATTGATTTCCTACAATATAACAAATATTTTAAAAAAAGAAAAACCGATTAAAAACAAATAAGAAAATAAAGGAAAATAAATATATTGAAGAAAGTATAGAACTCTTACTTCTGATTAATTTGTAACTTAATTGGCTGATTTGCATTATTCGGAATAACATTTTGGTTCAAGCAATCTGCAAGTTTTAATCGGATATTATTATTCCCAGATGATGAACCAGTGCATCCACCCGTATGGGATATAAATCGAGATGATGTGGGAGTATTGTTTCGACAAGTAGTTTCTCTTTGTGTACATCTATTTGTATTATACAAATTAACAGGGGCACCTGGAGAAAAACTATTTCTTGGCTAAAAAAATAACATTTTGATATTTATAATAATTATTTTATACAAAAGTATATCAACTGTTAATTATTTTATGATTAATAAAAAGTATGCACGCACGCACGCACGCAAAGTGGGGCAGATAAAATGTTACAAGTTACGTAATTACATATTTAAAAAGCATGTGTTTTTTTTTACATCAATTAATTCATCTCATTACTCTATGCAAGAAGGTATATTGGCGATCCATTTGGTCTTTTGTACAACACGTTACCATTAAATATAAGGTGGTCTATGCACTTCTCAGACTTTTATATCCTCTCTTTACAAAAGCTCCTTGTCTCTCAACTTGTTGTTCTACTGATGTTCGAGTAATGCTAATATCATGTGTATACATGATTCGAGTAAGTATATGTGCAATCAAACACAACACATTCAAAATTCATGCTTTTTTTGCGTACCATGCTAAATTCAATACCTTTGTTTCAGGCTTTTAATTGACTTGACATCCGGTTGATTTTCATCCTTCAAGAAATGAAATGCCTATAATGGTCAAAGCTAGATTTTTGTTGCTTAAATAATTCAATGTGAATTATATATATACATATATATAATATATAATAAAATTCACATTGAATTATTTAAGCAACAAAGATCTAGCTTCGACCGTTATAGGCACTTCTATTTCTTATTGGTTGTATTCTTACATGTACGGTCTTATGAGACTTAATATTTATGTAATATTGTTTCATCTTTCATTTGTGTTGTTTCGTTTATATTTATGTTTGAATATCCTTTCTTACCTACGTGATTATTTTCATCTGAATGAGAAACTTCATTTTGCTTCATCGTTATTTATACATTTGCAATCGTCTCTATCTTATCCTCTTTAATCCTATAAACAAATTTCACGCTATTTTCTCTTATATCGTTGCAGTCAAAACTTCAATCTCTTATCCAATGATATTCGTTTTTTTTATATTTTTAATTCTACATTCAGGTCATCAGTTTTTCTCCTACACTGCTTCTCAATTTTAACGCCAATGTTTGTATATTTTAATTTTATATTCTCATACTCTCTTGTTTCTCATTACAGATCTCGTTGTCATGCTAATTTCTTTGGCGAAGTTGATTGGCGAAGCTCGATATTTATGGTTGCGCAACTACTGTTATAAATCTTTCATCCAGGTCTAAACAACACTTTACTGACGTCTCATGCGCATAAAATAAGGTAAATGTATATTTTAGCTAACACCTCCGATTTAAATGTCTTTTAGATATGTTGTAGGAGTGTCCTCAGTAATTCCCCATAAGAATTAAGCGGGAGATTAATCAATGCTGTCAGCGCATTGGTTTGAGACGATATAATATATAATTCAAAGTTCCATAACATATAAGCAGCAACATTGGCATAAGAAATATAATATATTATCAACTCGCAAGTCAAGGTAGTTTTTTGCTTCACGTAAAAAGTCAGATGTTCCTAAGCGGGAGAGGGGGAGATAGATCTCGCTTTACGGGATCTACTTAACTTTCTCCTTTGCATAGGGGCGCGCGACTTTCTACAAGAAGCGAAATCCACTCCATCCCCTTCCTGCCTAGGGGTGCACGACTTCCATACAATGCGAGATCCACCCTATCTCACCACCTAGGTAGGTGTGTACGACTTTTCACCTAGGTAGGAGTGCACGACTTTTCACGCGAAGTGAAGTCCATTCCACATCCCCCTATTAAGGAGTGTACGACGTATGACTTTCCACGCAAAATGAATATCTTTATACAAACCTTATTATGAAACTTTTATTTGTTATATCTTCTAAACTAATGCCGTTCCGTACTTAAAGACCTTCACATATAAGACTGGGTTCACAACCTCGCTTTAAGAGATCCTAAATCGTAAAGCGATAAGAAATTGACCAATCATAGTTGAATGCGAGAAAAATAATCTACTGTAATTGGTCAATTTTAGGGCCTCTTAAAGCGAGGTTGTGGACCCAGCCTAAAACTCCGTAAGAACATAAAACGTAAATATAAAGAAATCAACTAATCCCAATCGTGTGTTCCCTCCCAGAGGGGTTGAATTAGAATTGGTCGATTTTCTTATACTTACGTTTTATGTCCTTATAGAGTTTTATGTGTGAAGGCCTTAATTCTTGTGAGAAATCACTCAGGACAGTCCTCTACAACATATCTTAATAAAAAAAAAAACACTAAAATCGGTACACCTAATTTAACCTAAAATAAACATTTACTAGGAGTGCGTTCAAGGAGCTCACTACCGCACTACAACGCTAACGCTACCATCTCTTTACGGAGCCAAGATAGCGTTAGCGAATACAAGCTCTGTGAACAGTAATAGTGTAGTCTGTATTGTTTGCCCTAACTATATCGCATATGGCAAAATGAAGCAAAAGCAAGCGCAAGAGCGTGGAGCTAAGCTACTCAGTATCCGGAAAATCAAAATTTTTGATACTCATGGGTGAATAGTCATGAACTTTAACGATTAATATCTCGGTTTGCAGGGCAGAGATTTTTTTCTCTGCTAGATTCTTTTGTTTCATGCAAAAACGCGGCGAACAAGGCTGATTTTTTTATTGATTTTTGAGCTAAATTATATAATTACCACAATATTGAACAATCATTGGACTCGATTTTAATACGTAACTTTCCTATAACTCTTCATCACCGCTATTCATGGAGCACATCGAACACTACACTATCAGTGCACTATCTCTTTGACATTTGTAGCGCAAAATTATGATGTCAAACGCTACCAACAGTAAAGTCACGATAGTGTTTCACATGGTACAAATAAGTGCTATCAACACTGGTAGTGAACTTCCTGAACGCACTCTAGGCCGGTGTAAAAGTTCTTGATGCGGATAAATACATCTTATATGCCTTAGTACTTAGTTTATCAGCAGAAATGTTTATGGTTTTTGTAAGTTGGCATCTCTGCATAACAGTTGTACATAACAAACCATAGATGTAAAAAAATACAGCCTTATATTTATAGTATGATTATCACGATTAAAATTAAATCAGATAAAGAACATATTCGCCACTGCCTTTTGTTTTGTTGCATTGTTTAATAAAGATTCAGCCGAATCGACTCGTGAGCTTACAACACAACTGGGAATTGATCATTCAACATTATTCGCCGTTTAATGCAATGGGAAAAATCCAAAAGTATGAAAAATGGATGCCACATTAATTGGCAATGCCAGACCACATGTTGCTAAGGAGACCAAGGAAGCATTGTTAGAATTGGAATGGGATTTTCTTCCACATTCAGCTTACTCACCAGACATTGCCCCTTTTGAGTATTATCTGTTCAAATCGATGCAACACGGTTTATCTAGTGAGTGCTTCTCAAATGCCGAGAATATATAAAAATGGGTCGATCAATGGATCGCCTTAAAGGATGACTCCTTTTTTCGATGTAGTATCCGTATGCTGCCGGAAAGATGGAAAAAAGTCGTGGAAAACGATGGAAAATATTTTGATAAATATATAATGTACCGATCTTATTGTAATAAAAAAAATTGCAAAAAATCGGCAAGAACTTTTGCTCCGACCTATACAATTTACTATTTTTAATTTTTAATACATCAATAAAGTTTGTCATTATGATTATTAAAAAATTAATAGTTTACGAGATATTTTATATTTTAGATCAAAATATACCAGAATATCTTGTAAACAATTAATGTTTCGACATTTCTGCCTGAATACTTCCGTATGCAGATTATTCTATAATAGGGAAATCATATTATGTAAAAATTTCATGTTATTCTATTAAAGAAAAGTAGAAGTGATCTCTGTGCAACTTTAAAAAATCGATTTTAACAAATTTCAATTTTATTATTTGTCTCTTTTAAAATTATACTTTTGTATTCATATTTTTTATTTGATGCATATTTTCAGAAATAATAACTTCTAACACTTCAAATACCCTACAATGTATTTATACATATACAGAGTGTTTCTAAATTCCCGCATATAGTATATAAAACGTAATACTTTATGTTAAAAAAAAAACGCTTTTCTCACTTCTGTCATTTAGTCCTTGGTTGGTATTCATAAGGAACGTCTTAAGATGTTAATACGATCGTACTATGATTAGTTTACCACATCTTAAGACTGTAATTAAGACAGTCTTAAAGAATAAGAATCAACCATGAGTACTGATCCTTGATTTTCTTCCATATCGTATTGGTTAAAATATGAGAAATTAGCAAAATAATTATTGCTTTCATTTCTCATGTAATAAATAACTAAAAGAATTTTCTTTCATTCTACAGAATCATGTTTTCAAGAATTAAGGGAATATTCCATAGTGTAGAATTTCGAAAGAAAATCAATTGCAATTAAGTGCTCCTTGAATTTTCTTGAACTTACATGTTACTGAAATTGTGTTTGTATAAGAAATTTGTCATATTTATAAAATTGAAGAAGTTAGCGAATAGCGCATAGACATCGATTTAAGGCCGCTGGACTATCGTGCGATATTGAATAGTTTTGCAACTACAAGTTATTTAGAGTTCTTCAAGGACATATCTTTAGGATTGTTATAGGAGAAAACTTTCTCTGTTTTATTTAGTAAATAAATAGTGTTACTTTAAGCGTTGAACAAAGCGGAAGCAAGCGCGCAGCAAAAAATTTAATTAAATACCGATGAGAATAAGCAGCCACTTACGATCATCAAGCTAGATCTTGGATGGTTATAATATAATTTCGTGTGAATTTATATACTATGTATGTAGATTCTTAAATAAAAAAAATTTAGATAATTATGCAGATAAAGTGACACTGCACTGATGACCTTGACCTTGATACATGTCAAGGTCATGATTCTGAATAACTTTGTTTTAACAAGGTGGAAGTCTCTTATATGTAGTTTCTGAGATATTTAGATGTTAACATCTATCCCCTAGAGAGAACACCAACACTGCAAGAATAAATATATATAACAATTCATACAACTACTATTTTATTTTAGCAACCCCACTTCTTCCCTACTTTAGCAGGGGGGAGGGAATAAAAGCCTCTTTAAAATACATTTCTATAATTGGATTGTTGCACGTGGGTTTCGACACAAGTCGATTTCCACCCCCCTGCTTCAGGGGCGCATTTAATATTTTCTTATATAATTTCTTATAAAATGTTTGTGTCTTTAGAGCAGAGAATTTGTATTTTTTAAAACATAGAATTTTAAAGGTAAAAAAATGTGATTTTAAAGCAAAGAATTTATGTTTATAAAGCAGAAAATATTTTATTATGTATAATTTAAGGCTGCGGTCCACTTAGGCCCGATTGCACCAACGGGATTTCGATTTTAAGCGAGACTTAAACTGTGTCTCTGTCTCTCTTTCGGCTTTAATACAAGATAGATAGAGTTTTAAGTCTTGCTTAAAATCAAGTAATGTTGGTGCAACCGGGCCTTAGCGCTTCAAATGCTACAGAGCACTAACATGACTGGTCCATTTGACGTTTCGGAACGCTTTCAGCAACTCTGATACGTCATCAATACGTCATCGTTTTTGTTCCCGCCTCACCTCGGGAGGTGGTTTGGCTGAAGCGTTTACGTAGTGATTGTAGCATTCGGAACAATAATGGACCGATCCAACAGTAGCATTTAAAGCATAGTGTTCAGAGCATTTGAAAAAAGCAAGTGGACCACAGTCTAAGATGTATAATGTAAGTAGTAAGAAGATGTATAATGTAAGATTTCACATATAAGTGTAGAAATTCGAACAAACTCTCTGTTATAAAGACACAAAAATTATATAAGAAAATATTTTGCGCTGCTAAAGCGGGGAATTTGTTTCATCGGAGCGCAGTTGTGTCCAAAAGTTAGGTTTTATTGATGAACTTTTTTTGTTAATAACTTTTTGACGAACAAGTAACGGCTAAAATTCGTTCAAGGTCACTCAGAGTCATGACCTTGACAACATAGGTCAAAATCATTGGAGGGTAGTTCTTTATACTGCATAATTAATAATTTCGGTACATCCTGTATATAAGGTATCTCATTTTAAATGCCTCAGGCAAATATTTCGAAAAATATGGAAGATACGGAAAAACGTTCCAGACCAAAGTTGTAAGATTCAAAGGAGGACATAAGATGATACCATTGGTTTGATCTTAGATGGCGCCACCAAGAGTCAAAGTCACTTTTAATTTTGTAAATGGAACTCTTCATTTTTTATTCCACATTCTTATTCTAGTCAGTGACTTTATGAGAGCTTTTTAAAACATTATACAATAATAAAATTTATTTTTAAGTATTTTTTAAGTTATAAAGATTGAAAATTACAATTCCGCCAGCATTAAGCATTACCTAAGACCAACAGTTAAAATTTCCTAAATATTGTTCAGGATTATATGACTTAAATTACATTTCTCAAGATCATTAGAGGTCGTTACGATTATTTTCATTTTTAGGGGCATGTTGGAGTGACCAAATTGAGGGGACATTGCATCAAAATAAATCTCGGAATTTATTGAACGGAATCAAAAATTCTTTTACAGGATTAAAATAGACGCAAAATTGGATGATGGTGCAATGGATTTTATACTAAAATCGGAAAAAAGTTAAAAACTTACACTTTTTTCTACTGGTAGAGTTGTCATCTAACGTAAATATTTTCTTAATACAAAAGTTTTATAGCTTGAATAGACGAAACAACAGTGTATTATCCAGCATAATACGTGCACAAATATAATAATACTAAGTTTACAAAACTGAGATTGAAAGAATTAACTTAAAAAAAAAAAAAGATTTACATTGATTTATAAATATTTCACGTATATTTGCTTGTTCAATCAGGCCGATAAACAAACCAGAAATTACGTCTAACAGTAGTTGCTCGATTTTACGAAAGATGATGTTGCAATATGTTAGATAAAGATAGATGCGTATGAATAAGCTACAACGATAACATAATGTAAGAAATGAGTGAAAGATGTCACTATTATCGAATTTGGAACTAAAAAAATCTGTACTATCAACTTCGATCAAGTTAGCTGTTGCTTCAGCATCATAAAATGTAAAGAAGGGAAACAATCTCGCTTCGATAACAAATGTTATATAGCTAATCTTAGATATTCAAGAGGTTTTAGCCGTCAGTCGGAAACTTTGAATAATGATAATGTCGGTGGAACTATAATTTTCAGGTCTTAAAATTCGAAAAGTATTTAATGACAATAAATTTTATAAGTGTTTTAAAAAGCTCTTAATGTAAGCTACGAGAATATGCAATAAAATTGGAGAGTCTCATTCAAGAAATTCCATGTGACCTTGCTCTGACCTTAACAAGTCCATCTAATGACAAACTAATGTTATCACATGTCCACCTCAAAGTTTCAAAACTTTTGTATGAAACGGTTTCCTCTAAAATGTTTTGTTTCCAAGATAAAAATTTGTAATATTTTAATTTGAAACACCCAGTATATATATTGTGCATTATGTGCGCGCACGCGCGCGCGTGTATGCGTATAATAAATAAAAATGCATTTTTTATCTAAAAAATTTTAAAAGATCTTAGTAAAATATCGATAGTTCAGCTTACAGTTACACTTGTAGGATTTCGGTACGTAAAAGATTGATATGTTGTTGTAGCTCTCATAATTGTAGATGATTCTAAATTCGCTTCTCTGTGTAATATACTAGCTGTTTCAGTTAAACCTTTTGACATAAGATGCTGATATATTAATTGATTAAGTTGTTGTTCATTATACTGTATTCTCGTCTGTGCTACAACATTGGCCTATATAAAAAATTATTTTGTTTAAAAACATTATGTGACTGTGGAATTGCAAGAAAAGATAAATATATAAAAGACAGATAAATGCTAGTTTTTAATTCTTTAATGCTAAAAATAAATTTGAAGAATTTAAAGACTTCAAAATTATCAAAGAATTTATAATTGATAAAAAGTGCGACTATTTTAAAATATGTGTAATTATACATGCAAATAAAACAAACTTACCCTATGTAAACTGACTAAAGAAATTTCATATTCTGCACCTGTTGGTTTTGCTTTACCAGATACCCTTTCCATTAATTCAAGAGCATACTTTTGGAAAGTAACATGTTCTTGCCGTTTCTCTTGTAAAATAGGATCTTTCATAAGTGACTGAATTTGCCCATTTGTAAACATTGGTAACTTGCTAATAATCTGCCTAACTTTCTCACTACGTGCTAGTCCAGCTAGTGCACGACATGCTAACGCTCGTATACTATCGGCATCAGTAATAGGTGTTTTTACCATCATTAATTGTAGTAATACCTGTTACAAAAAACAATTTTATATAAGTTGTAGTTTAAATATTGATAAATAGATATCGTGCGACAACATTTCGCGTTTTGGCCTATGTGCTCTTTTAGTGTTTGTTTTTGACGTAGTTCAAAGAGCTAATTATTATTATAATTTATTTATATAAATTATATCCGAATAATTAACATATGATAACACATACCATTATTCCATTATTTGATCTAACGCTTTCCCATACTTTTTGTATCAATTCTTCACTATTGTGAATATTTGCTTTTTTCTTAGTAGATCCCGTTATAGAATATCTAGCTACATTTCCTCCAACCTAAAAAAAAAAACATCAAATTATATATATATATTTGTATATATATATATATTTTATATATACATATATATGTTAGGTGTACAAATTAGTTCGGTCCGCTCAAAAATACATTTATTTCAAAACAAAATGAATGAACAGATTAATTATCAATATATATATATATATATATAAAATTATATATATAATATATTACATATATAAAATATATTTTATATATATATACATATATATAACATTAACAGTGTTTTCGGCCCGACCGGGTTTGTACCAACCTGGATTTAAAAATGCTTTGCTATTGGTTGACGTTACACGCTCTACCAATAGAAAAGCACGAAACATCATTAATTCAACCTAAATTAGTGCAAATTGATTAGGCTGAAAACATTATAGGATATCTTAAACAATATATACATATACATATATGTAGGTATTTATATATTAAGTATACATACATATGTAAATAGTATACATATATATTGTACTCAAAGTGAATCATTTTAATTTATTCCACCACCAAAATATCTCAAAAACCGTAAGTTTCAGAAGGCAACTTTTTAGACAAAAATTGTATAATCAGAAGAAGGGCAAATAACGATAAAATTAAATTTTGAAAATTTTCATATTTTAAGCTACTCTGTAACTAATCTGATAAAAGCATTTCTATATATACCATTAATTTATGTGCTGGAAAAAATCTTGACATTTAAAGTGCATTATGTCCTTTAATTAGAGACAAATAAAATGTATTTGTTTAACATTTTCACCAACTGTTTAGCAATTTTGTTGAACATTTCACATTTTACTGATTGACGAATTGTTATTTTTTTTGTAAAGCGCGCAGTTTTCTTGTGACTCTCTTTTTTTCTCGTTCTCTAAAAATTATAAATTTCGGACAAAACGCATTTTGAAATTTTACTCTTCATTTAGTGAATTATTAATTTCTAAATACTTTTAATTTGACACTTTTACATGCAAAATAATTAGAGAATTACGTTATATAAAAAATCATATTACCTCATTTAAAAAATATATATTATAGAATATCGATCAGAAAACCATAAAGATTATGTACATAACCATGAAGAGATAATATTAGTATATTTGTTCTATTTCAGATTGTACAATCAATCTTTCAAAATTATATGAAGATTACCAATATTTTTCAAAATACAATTATATCATTCTTTCACATGTAATTCTTCTAATAGTTTTGCATACAAAAGTACACACGTATATATTTATGAAATATAATTTATATTGAAAAACGTACTCTGTTTATGGGAGCACATACACAATTAATTACAGCTCTAAGTGCTGCTCTTTGTACATCAGCATCTGCAATAATTTCACATTCAGCTGCAGCTAGCAAAAGATTAATCGCCATTGTCATTGACATGTCTGGCATATCAACTCTTTCACATAGCAGCAGCATAACTTTTGGTACAACAGAACAAATTGCGACAACATCCAAACATGATCTAACCGTTTCTGCACTAGATGTAGTATGTACCCTAAAAATATCAATTATTTATAAATTTTAAAATTCTTAATAACTTGTATATTTATAAAATAATGATGTAGCTCGTGTTGTAAATAACATTAATAAGAAGAAATAAGGCCAATATAAACGAGGAAAAGCAATATTCTCATTTTAATAGTATCTTATACAAATATATTATACGGAACGTTCCGACCTAACTATATAGATATCTTCATCACAGCAAAAGTCGAATTAACACATATTGAAAAATACAAATAAAATCTGATTTTAATTTTGTCAGTAAACACGTAATATAACATCGTTAAGAATTTTAATATATTATAATAATACTATAAATTATATCAGTAATAAAATATTATATCAGTAATAAAACATAGTTTCCTAGCGATGTCATAATTATCAAAGTAGTTATTGTCCGTACGTAAAAGAATTAAGTCCAGTAATGTAAAAAGCATCATATGAATGAAAACTCAATATAACACCGTTGTTCTTTGTAAGATACGTTGATCACATTGCTTTAGCCACAGACAGTTCTCATATTGAGATTTTCAATAAATTTAATTGCAAGAAATTTTGTAAACAACATTTTTCTTTTTTTTTTTTGGGAGAATTAAAAATAAATAATATCAATTAATAATAAACATTACTTTTTTTTATTTCCCCTGTTAATATAAATTTTGAGTAACAGTGAGTTTACGGGCCTAAAAAGTTTATACAAACTTTTTTATGTTTTGGAATAAGGAGCTCGGCATTAAAATTTGTTATCTTATTTCAGTTGCATCCTATATGTATACATATATGAGGAGCAGAATTCCAAAATGCATTTTGTCCAAAATTTCATTTTTTTAGTTAAAGATGGCAGAGTGTTTAATGTTGAGAGATTTATATTTTAAGTTACACTACGAGGGCAAGTCAATAAGTTCTTAGAAAATCTGTCAGAGAGTACTTGCAGTATCATGTCACATTACTTTTTGACAAGTAGCATCTTTCAGCTGATTACTGTCAAATTTTCAGCGGAATTCATCGTGAGGTTTTATTTCTGTAAACGATTAAAGCGAACAATTTTTGTACTTTTTGCAAAATGGAAAAAAAAAACGAGTTTCGTACAGTGATCAAACATATACATATTGTAAGACAGGAGGAGTAGGTTGTAAGAACGCGCGGTATTAGGTTCGAGCGGCGAACTCGTGAACGTAGAGGCGTTGCGCATGTCGAGCGAGTGAGTGTGTGAGGAGAAGTAGAGAGTCAGTTGAGTCGAGAGACGTACGAGTTTTTGGGCAGTGTGTGAGACTGAATTACCTAGTTTATCCTGACGTCTTACAATATGAAAAGTTTAACGCCGAAAGAAATCAAAGCCGAGTTGGATAATGTTCATAGCACATCTGCACCAGCGTTTGCAACTGTATACAATTGGGTGAATGAATTTAAACGTGATCGTACATCCATATGTGATGCACCTCGTTCGGGACGTCCAATTGAGGCTGCTACACCAGAAATCACTACGATAAAGTTCACGATATTGTTTTGACTGACCGACGAGTGAAAGTGCGCGAGCATGTTGAGGCCACAGGCACAGTGACTTCAATTTTACACGAACAATTGGGTATGAAAAAGCTATCGGTAAGATGGGTGCATTTACTCATTGTGGATCATAAGCGCGACCGTGTGACAATTTCAAAACAATGTTTGGAGATGTTTCAACGTAATCCAGATGAATTTTTGCGTCGATTCATTACTGTGGACGAAACATGGATCCATTACTTCATACCCGAGACGAAAGACCAGTCAAAACAATGAACTTCACTAGGTGAACCAGTTCCGAAGAAGGCGAAGATCGTGAAGTCGATCGGAAAGGTGATGGCCATAGTTTTTTGGGATGCATGTGGTATAATTCATATCGATTACTTTCCGAAGCAAACGATCAACGGCGATTACTACGCAGCCTTATTGGACCGTTTTAACAACATTTTAAAGAAAAAACATCCCCATTTGGTGAAGAAGAAAGTGCTCTTCCATCAAGACAATGCACGGGTTCACACGTGCACGGCATCGATGGCCAAATTTAACGAATTCCGATACGAAGTGCTTTTCCATCCAGCATATTCGCCAGATTTAGGCCACTGTGACTATTTCCTGTTTCCAAACCTGAAGAAATTTGGTTCAGAGGAAAGAGATTCACCACCAGAGAGCAGCTCATCGCCGAAACAGAGGTTTATTTTGAAGGGTTAGACAAATTCGGACGGCTTGAAAAAGTTGGAGAATCATTGGATCAAGTGTATCGAGCTGAAAGGAGACTATGTTGAGAAATAAAAATAAATTGATAAAAAAAAAGTGTTTTATTATGTTTTTCTAAAAACTTATTGACTTGCCCTCGTATGATGTTCTGAAAGCATTTCTCTACACCATCAAGTTATGTAAAAAATCTTAACATTTGAAGTGCATTATATCCCTTAATTACAAGACAAACAAAATATTTTTTAACATTTTCAACTGTTTAGAATTTTATTTCACATTTTACTGATTAGCAAATTATTTTTTTTTTAAGCGCGTAGGTTTCTTGTGACTCACTTTCTTTCTCGTTTTCTGAAAATTATAAATTTTGAACAAAACGCGCATTTTCAAATTCTGCTCTTTCTATGTGCATACTTGATTCATTTTAATGTGTCATCTTAAATATTGGTTTTCCTTTTACCAAAAAATGATTCAGATAGGTCACATCGATTTTTTTTTTTAAATAGGAATTTCCATTTCAAAAAAATCAACGTGACTTTTATCTGATCTTGGCAACGCCTGCTATGATTATAATAATACTGTTATCTAGTATGTTATATAGAATTTTAATCCTTTCATAACAATGACTGCAGTCACCCAACGCGGGCGGTTGATACATATTAAATCGCTGTAATACTGTAGTCATTCGTCAACATTTTTATATAAAAATATGTATATGAATATATTTTATATGGATATTCAGCTTTGCAATGTTAGTCTGAGCACATACAGATTTTGTATGTATTGTACAAAATTTTATTACTAAATATAAATTAAAAAATTTTTAATTTGTGCATACTTTAATGTACAGTGTGTCCTATTTTTATTAGCTCGGTGCAAAAGTTCTTGCTGATTTTTATCAATATTGCTGTTGCAAAAGGATTAAAATACAAAATTAAAAATCTGATGAACTTTTGTTAGTATGTAGACATGTAGTATCTTATTGTCTATTTAACCTACTTACCGTCCACTATAATTCCATTCGCGAGCAAAAGCAATAATTTGCAAAAGCAATGTGATACCACCTAAACGATGAAGTTCTTCTACTGGTGGCCATACTGCTCTAACTGACATTAATTCTTGAAGAATTTCTACTTTTGCCTGAACTTCTTCACTGCTAAATTTGCATGCCTATAAAATAAAATGCATGTTTTAAAAAATATATCTGTATATACATATAACACTTGATTTATATAACGGTAAAAAATTTAATTCAAATAATTTTATGTACGTGCAAATGTATCGCGATTTAGAATAAAATTATAATTAAATAGTTAAACAAAAGAACTATTGACAGGAATTTTATTTTACCATTATTTTATTATATTTTATATATCAAGGTTAAAGTAATTGGAGTTGGGTCCCCTTTTGTCATAAATTTACCATAAAATTAAATTAAAATAAGTTCTTAAAATATTTTGACGATATCTGAAGAGTTACAAGCACTTAAAAATCAAACGTTTCAACAAAGATATAACGTGATTAAAAAAAATAATTAAAAAGTAAAGAAATTTTTAAAAGAATAATTTATTTTCTCACATATCAAAAAGATGTATGTATGGAATAATAATAATAATACAATGAAAAATATTGTGTGTATGAAAAATATGTTGTTCATAAAACATATTTCTTAAATTTCATAATACTTCCAAAACAAATTAGCTCATTAGTTTCAAACTCTATCAAAATATAAAATAGATGTTCCAATTATGAATACAATCAATATTATAAATACTATTAACACAATTTTTAAGATTAAATTTTTAATGCAATTTATAAAACTGTAAAATAAATATATGGCGTTTATATCGTCAGCACTGCGGCTAAGAAAAAACAAACAAAATTCATTAAAAATGAGTAAATAATCGATATCGAAATAGTCGAATTCCGCGAAGTTGCGAAAGATACATACGAACGTCAGGAACCTTTTCAATTGTTCGGAATAGAAAAAATGACAACATAGAGATAGGTACAGACAACATAGGAGAGTTTAAATGGATGATGAAAATAACGGAATAAGTGTATAGTGATCAATATTTCTAGATAGGATATTAATGTGCACTGCTATTCAATGATGCGAGATTTTACAATAGAACATTGCATGCGCTATAAATTAGTATTAGGTAATAGAGCACATAGTCGCTTGTATAGGCAGAAAAATAGTTCGAAAGGTTTTAGTTAAAGTTGAATCGGTAAAATAAAGAATTCTCGAAAGATTTTAGATAAATAAATATAGCCGAGTGCGAAATCAGAGGAAAATGGCAAGAGGAAAATAGGCCACTCGTTTGTCGGATCTCACAACTAGCGGTCACATGTAAAATAGAGATAAGAATAAAGTGAAGACTTAAACCCGACTTGCCGTGATTTTTTTTTCAACGACCTAGAGCGCGATACATTGAATGTTTCGTATGAGCTAAAAATATAAATGAATTGAATAAAATATAAGTGAATTTTTCAATTTCTTAATTTTTTGTATTTTTTATAGATGTTCAAATACGAATAAATAAAGGATAAAAAGTACTTTTTTTTTAATTTGTTGCTTAGAACTATGAAGTGTGTGTGTGTGTGTGTGTGTGTGTGTGTGTGCGCGCGCGCGCGTGTGTAATTTATATACCACATATATATATCATCTGAATTGCACACCAAATTAAGTTTTTGGACTTGGAAGTACAACTGAACTATTGTAGTAATATCAATTGGCAAACAATTTAATTTGATGTTCAATCAAGCATTTTATTAGAGAGATTATTGTAAAAATCTGTAAATAAATATTGCGAAAAATATAATATAATATTATCACTTATCAATATATTATATATATTGTGTAAGATCTTTTCTTTTCAAGGTTTTTCTCTTTAAAAAAAACTTCTTTAATTGTATAATTATTTGTACTTACTTTATAAGGAGGTAATGAAGGCTGCCATGTATCACGTTCAACTCTGACATTTTCTGCACGTTGTAATTGCTCTGCTTTTAAATGCAAATGCGCTTCCATGTATCTCTTCAAAGCAACAGCTACGTGTCGTACGATTTGTCTTGATGCACATTCTTCATCATCATTTATAGTTGGTTCTTCCTCAATATTTAAAATTGGCAAAGTAGATATCTATACAGAATTTAATTATGTTTGATCATACAAAGAATAGTTTTAATTTAAAATTAATAAGTAATATGTGTTCTTGATAATAAGAAAATTATGTTTTTGTTTTATAAATAAAACATGTTATATATATCAAAAAATATGTACACGGTGCGTCACTAAAATCCGGACAAATCGAACAATTTCTTTAAACAAAATGTTTTTAATGAAAAATTAAATATTACAAAAAATCCTTTTACTTGGGGGAGATATAATTATCTCTATAATTATTCGATATATCCCCTATTAGTTTGAATGACGGCCTCTATTCTCGGTTTGAAGCATTCACACGCACGCTGTAATGTAGCGCTGTCCATGCCTCAATAGCGGTCCTTAATGACATCACATTAGGATACCGAAACTTGTTAGTGACCCTTTCAACTACGTTCCATACGTAGTAGTCGAAATAATTTAAATCTAGGCTGTTAGGAGGCCAGAATTCCTTGAACCAAAACATATCGACATTGTCCTGGCAGCCTCAGAGAGCATCTGTCGTATCTTTAATGTGTACAATTTGTATTGAAGATCCTCGGCAATTCGACGCATTGTTGGCTCGCTTACACCAACAATCGATGCTAATTTCGCAACGATTGCCCTGGGTCATTCGAAATCAGCCTTTTCAACGACTGTGGGAATCCTCGCGGTGCGTCCTTTCGAGTGACTCTTTCTCGCTGGCATACTAGAACCTTCGTTAGACTGTTCTAAAGCCGTAAATTTGACCATAAATTGATCTTAAGTATTCAAAAAATTTCCGTTGCTGAGCACCAAGCGCGAAGGCCTTCGATGATCGCGGTTTTTCGATTATACTCCGCACTTGGTTTCAACATCGCGGTCATTTTGAGAATATGACTATTTACTAGAAGCATCAGACTTTCTTGGAAAGCCAACATCCTCTGGCAAAGGCACAATATAGCGGAAAATTTAAATTGAAATTTGTCCGGATTTTGGTGACGTACCCTGTATATAAACATAAATATTGAGTTATTTTTTTATTTTGTCTAGTGAACATAAAATTGAAGTTTTCTTACTACATTAAATAATTTTCTCAAGCCATCCTGTGCATCGAACTCTTCTAATATAACTTTGAATGGAAAAGAAAACCCAAAGAACATAGTCGCGTGACATCGTCCAGAGTCATGACTACGTTCTAATAACCATAATGCATAAGTCACGAGATCAGATATTATGTGTTTTGGTAATAAACACACTCGTTCCATAGCATCTTCACAGTACGCCAGATAGTAGAGACATATCGATACACCTGTTGCTGCAACACTCGGCCTCGGCACATCTAACAGTCTTTGCAAACCGCCCACATTTAAGAATTCGATTGAGAATTTTTTGTGACATAACAAAGATGCAAGATACTTAAGAGCCTCAAAAGCAAGTCTGCTGTCTTTAGTTTCTCGCACGTTTATATATTTCAGTATTAAGTCCAGAGCATTGTGTTCGAACACATGACCAAGAAACTCTTGATACTCTCCCATTGGTGTCAAGTACCGTAAAATTAGCATCTGTCGAGTCGCAAGAGTAGGAGGATACATTTGAACATTACCAATAACATACGATTCCATTTCAGCCCAAGAAGAATTTGAATTTCCCTCTAACTGTGTCAAATGTACGTTAGAACTTTGAGACAGATTGGATAACTTTTGCAAATTGCATCTAGCGGATGCTGGTACATTCAATATTCTCGTGGACTGTAAACTACTTTGTTTGGATGGTGTTACTTGCAAATTAACATGATTGTTCGCGGTTTTCGGTATGGATAGAGGTGGGGACATAATTTTGGGATAAAGATCGTTATTTTTTATAGGCGTTTCACAACCAGAGTTGCTTTTCTTTTTTTTTGTAGCTGGCATATCATTGAAATTATGCATTGAATCATTATCGTCGGAGGAAGGTGAATCTTGATCTTTCACAATTCCATTTTTCTGCCATTTTTCCCGCATTTTACGTTTTTCGGAAATATCTTTATCAATATAATCAACACTATTTATATCTTGCCCAAAATGAGCAAATGGCCTAATGTTTTTCTGATGATCCTCATGCATTTTTTGCTGACGATCTTCGTGTGCCTTCTGCTGCAACTTATGTAATCGTTGCAACATTAATGGTACCATTTTAGCATTTTGATCTCTAAATCCTGTAGCTATATCTTGCACTTCCATAGCAGCGGCTAAAAGACCAGTTGAATAACTCTGTAATGGTTCAATGCTTTTTTCTGCCCAAGAAAATAACCTGTGTATAAGACCTTCCATATCTGGTTGAAATACTGCTGAAGTTTCTAAACCTGGAAGTATGTCTAACATCAGACGACAGGCAGCAATGTTTAACTTTCTGACGTCTCTTCCAGTTATTCCCGCTCGAGACCAATATGTATCTCTCAAATAATCATTTATTAACTGAAAGTAATTTTTGTATTATTAAAAGACATAATATTATAATTTCAAAGTACAAAAAAGTGTTGTTATTAATATACTGAATTCATCTGTTATTACTGACAAAACACATTTTGCAATTATCTTTTTATATCCTATTTATCTTATTGCTTTTACAATTTAACAAATTCTATTCCATAACTAAATATCTACTAACGTAACCATCAATTTTATATAAAAAAAAATGTTTTTTAATTTAGACCTTTATGTTCTTAGCACTTATTATCTAGTTTTTAGCATCCCTCTCAATTCGTAACAAAATTTATGTTATATTAAGTTTTATTAGTTGTACTTATAAAATAAGAGTGGTCTGACTGAGTTACATAAAAAAATAACAGTTTTTAAAATTAAATGTAAAAACTAAATATAAAAAATTAGTGTATAGAATAATTTATACAAATGTAATAGTATTTATTAATATTTTGTAAATTGTATGTCTATATTATTGTAAATTGTGTGGAAGTCACATTTTGGTCAATAAAATAAACAATTCTGTCAAACAATACTTAATACTATTCAATTCTGTCATTTGATTGATACTTCAGCATCCGTTTAAGCAAATCTTGTTTAATTTGTAACTAGTACGATTATTTTATTATACAAACATAGCGATATATTTTTCTTTATGTATCTACTATAAAATAAACTATATCATACACTACTAAACAAAAAATAGGAAACACTTTTGCTTCAATATTTGATAACTCGGTGAACAAAAGCATACATTTATTTATAAAAAAACAAATTGAAGGTGAAGATTCACTCTTTCAATTACTGTAAACTACATTTTCGTATAATTTTCACCTTATACCATAAATGTTTGTAAAGTTTGTGTAAAATTTTTAGATTTGAGGAATATTTATTTATATCCATATAACAATGTAAAGGATCAGTCACATTAAAATATCAATTATATATTTTGCAAGTAGAGATTTTGAACTTTAGAATGCTTTCTAATTTTTTAAAAATAAATTTAACAGAAAGTCAGTATCCAAAAGAATAAATCCAACTAAATAAATTAATGTCAATGAGAACTGGCACAGGTTATTCATATGAATTAATATTTATTTAAAAAAATATATTATATATAAATGTAAATGTTTCAACCTTAGTTTCTCGGGTCCTCTTCAGTACAAATTAAAATTGATGATTAATAAACTATGCGCAAAGGTGTTTTAATTTTTTGTCTGCGATAATTTTTCATCGAGTTAGTGTTCTGAATATTGTCCAATTTTTAGCATGTTTGAAAGTGTTCATTATTTTTTGTTGAACAGTGTATATATTAGGATATTGCATTATAATGTATACCATTAAAGTTCGTAATGGTAAGTAAACTAATATTAAATTCTATATGTATATAATCACCTTTGTCATAAAGTTATCCTTCCTAAACAAAACTTTCAATATATGTCCAAAATTACATTCTGGATCAGTACGTGATGGATGTCTTTCATCGAATGGATCTGGATCCATCTTCATATAATTTTCTGTCTCAAGTTCTATTATATCTGCTAATCTCTGAAGAACAGGAATAGGATCATAAGTTGATGAACTATGCTCTTCTTCCCACTGTCGTAGAATTTGTACAACATCTGTTACTTCTGCAAGTGATTCTGTATTCGCCATTATAGATCTATAAATAATAAATTTCAAAGTTAAAAATTGGAAAATTTTTCTTTCTCTTTTTTATAAATTTCCTTGTTAAAATTTCAAATGATAATACAATTTATAATTTTGTGCATATACGTGTGTATATGTAACATGTATATAAAATCATATATTATTATAATAAATAAAATAAATAATTTTATGATTTATTTCCATAAAAAGACACAATAAAAGGTTTTATTAAAAATATTAAACTTGCAATTAAAATTTTAATATGAGATTTTGATATGAGTTCTATTAAATGTAGCATGTACTCTATTAAAACACAACATAACGGTTAAATTCCATACAAAAGATGTAGTGCAGAATTGATGCTAAAAATTTTTATAATTTTTAAATATGTCGAAGTCATTTATATAAAAAAAAGGAAATGTTCTGTTAATTGGTCTCAAAGCAAAGCCTCATCATTAACATTAATATATATTATATCAATGTTACAACGTGTGACTTGATACCGACACAACCTCAAAATATTAAAAACAGTAAACAACAGGTTCGGTACAGAACAGAGAAAATATCAAAAGATACAGTCCGAGAGAAGGAAATTTAGATGTACTAAAATTTAGATAAAATTACGCAACAAAAAAAAAAAGAAAGAAAGCCGGCCGGCTTTGCAATACTGCGAGAATTTGCAATAAACACAAAGATCGTAGTTCAGATTGATGATATAATGGTTCACCGCGTACAACGCGTGTATTTTATAGGTTAGATTCTGCAAAATAATTTAGTTTGAAAATTTCCATTCAATTATTTTTCTGATATTTTAAAAAATACGAATAATATACACGACTCGGAAACACACATTAGCTAAATAATTTTGAGCAATTCCGATACTTAAAAACATACGTTACCACGTATTTGGATAAAACAGACTACACAGGACTACACACACAAGCCAACTACAGTGGGCTATTATGAACTGTGTAGTTAAATAGTTAACCATAGAACATATATAATTATGGAATCAGTCTAATATAAAGTAAAGGCCGCAGCACAGACTTTTATATAAAGCCCATTCTACAATGGCGTAAGGGTAGTCGTAGTTGTAAGAATTGACTAATCACAGTTGAATACGAGGAGAATATTCGACTGTCATTGGTAAAGCCCATGGCACATAGAAAAACGTAAGGCCGTAAACGTAATCAGTAATCGAATTGACCAATCACAATTGAGAACGCAGCGGCAGCGTGATTGGTCAATTCGCTTATTAATTACGTTTACGCCTTACATTTTTCTATGTGCCACGGGTTTAAGTTCTTATAACTACACCACTTACAACTACGTTTACGCAATTGTAGATCGGTCTTAAGGCGCAGATTTGCTTGCGCATCGTAAAACGGCCATGTTTTGGTAGCACCAATCCCGATCAAAGTAGAGAATCTATCTTATCTACGTTATAATAATGGAAAAACATAACCAAACTCAGTTAAGTGTTTATCGTGTCACACCATGGACCTAAAGGAGCCTATAGACCAGAGCGGCGCAGTGGTGAAGCGGCGAGCAATAGCCAATGAGAGCCATGCTTTTGCGTAAAAGCATGGCTCTCATTGGCTATCGCTCGCCGCTTCACTGCTGCGCCGCTCTGGTCTGTAGGCTCCTTAAGGCTGAAATCACACGATGCGGAATAGGACTACGGAATAGAGAGTGCGTCATTGAAGCAACCAATCAGCATTATTCCGCATTTTGCTTTCTAGCACTGATTGGTTGCTTGAATGACGCACTCTCTATTCCGCAGTTCTATTCCGTACCGTGTGATTTCAGCCTAAAGCCAGAAACACATAGAAAAATGTAAGGCCGTTGAAACGGAACGCAGCTTTTATTCAAGATTGGCTGCGTTCAGCAGACTCAACAGTTTTGCAACCGTTTTATGATTCGTCTCGCTGATTGGATTATAATTTTAGATCTAAAGGAATAGTCCTATCTCAGCAAAGAATCATAAAACAGTTGTAAAACTGTTGAGTCTGCTGAACGCGACCATTGTCTCCTTCTCATCCTGCGCGGAACCTTCTCCAAGCCTTGCTCCTCTCCTATTGGACGAGCCCGGCCATGTAACCGCAGCCACTACGATCCTGCCGGCGACTTGCACTATTACGTGCGCGCATGCGTGCGCGGCAAGTCCGCATCGTTTCTTTAAAATCTACTTCTTCGAGAAAATTTCGCGTCGTTCTTTTTTTTTATACTACAGTTTAAATTTTTTTATTACTTTAATATTCTTTGTCTGTTTATCAAATGATCTTTTCATTGATTTTCTATTATATGAGTTGTTTTGTACATTGTGTCTGTCTTTAGAAACTAACAATAATCTGGTAACATGTGTACATCAATAACTTTGATATCTTCTCTCCATTTCTTTTAAATCCTGATGAAATCGCTCACTCTGCTCTTCGCTGTAATCTCCGAGATTTTCAGGAAACTTGTCAAGATAAGTATACAAGAAATAAACTTTTAAACTCATTAAACATTCTAGTTCACGAAATTGAATAAGCTTATATGACTAACTTGTTTGTAGTTTTCACTTTCTTTGTTTACTAAAAAATTTTAAACAACACCTTTAAAACTAAGCCAAGCTTCTTTTCCATTGCATTCATTGATTTGAGAAAGTTGCTATCAAAAGTCTAATTTGTGAACCATCACAGATAATTTCTGCAAAGAATCAGTATAAATATAGTTTTTTGTGTTTGAACCACGCACCTAGTGATATGCGTTTAAGTAAGGCTGCGGTCCACTTAGCACTTCAAACGCTATAGAGCATTATTTGTAGCACAGATATGACTGGATTATTTGATGCTTCAGAATGCTCCCAGCAACTCTGATTATGTCATCAATACATCATCGTTTTCGCTTGAACTGCCTCACCTTGGGAGATGGGTTGGCTGGAATGTTCACGTAGCAATTGTAACATTCAGAACAGTAATGGACCAATCCAAGCATAGCGTTTGGAGCGTAGCATTGAGAGTATTTGGAAGAAGCAATGGATCGCAACAAATAGATATACGTGTATGTATACATAAACATATAATGTATATTAGATATCCTCTCTTTTGCTATAACCATTTTACAATAGATCATTATATTTAGTAGATTTATCATAAATTTTAAATGTATAAATTTTTGTCAAGAAAAATATATTGCAAAACAATTATGCAAATATAATCCGTTTCAAAATAAAAATTATTAATTTATAAAATTTTATGAAATAATAGATATAGAGCAATAGATATAAAACATAAAAATATTGCAAAATATAATAATAATAAGGAATTATTTAAGTTATTAATTTGTTGTTGATAAGCGCATACACATATTGAAAGTATGGAAACGTAGCCAATGGGCTTATACATTTTTCTTTCTTCCAATATTATGATAAATATCAGAAACAATAAAGGATTTCTCCAAATATACTAACATACAGTTTTTGGTCAGAATGAAAGAATGATACAGTGTACAACCACTGTACCACACAGTGTATGTGTGTGTGTGTGTAAGCGTGCGTTTGTTCGACTTCTATATTTCAATTCTAAAAATAACTCTTTTCAAAATGTGGAAAAATTTTCGGTGAAATCTAGTTCATGTATACTTTTCGTGTCATCACTCCATATCGCGGTAACTCACAATTTGCCGCTTAAATTCATCCACTTCATAATCAACGCTAGCCCGGAGCTGTTTTAATTCCATAGCCATTTCATCAATGTCTTCAGTCATGCGTAAAAGCTTGGCGTCTTTTGTCGCTAAAACAACATTATTCACCTCTACCTCGACCTCTAGCTGCTTGATTCTCTGTTTAAGCCTTTCTTTTTCCTCTTCGACCCGTCTGCGTTCTAATCCTTCTTCTCCGGCCTGTCTGCTAAGCCTACCGACTTGCGTCTCAAGACTTGAAATCTTACCCGACCAACTAGTCTTTATATCAGAGAGATGAAGATGTGCCTCTTCAAGCTTTCTTTCCAACAATGTCCTTTCACGCATTAGATCGGCTATTTTTTCATCGACTGTCACTTGATCGTTCGTTTCAAGAGCAATTCTCTGCTCCAACACGAAGACTTTGTCCTTCAAATGACGTACCTCTTCTTCTGTATGCGCTAACTGACAAGAAAGTTGTGCTTTCTCTCTTTGCGTAGAATGACGCATCGTCTCCATTTCATCCTGAAAATGAATAATACAGTTATTTAACGTCACTCGTTGATTTTTATCAAGACTCTACTTAATTTTTTTTACAAAATTTTCCTCTACCAAACCTTGTTAAAGCATAAGGCGTGAATTTTATATATTATATATTATAATATTTATAAATTAATAGTAAGACAATGGATCATCTAAGACAAAACAGAAGCACGATAAAGTAGACACACAGAACAATATTTATAGAAATTAACACTTTCTAAGCGTCACAATAGCTTTTCAAAGAATTGATTTAAATTAAAATTGGGATTTAGAAACATGGGCTAGGAACATAAATAGTTACCAAATCTTTACGCATTTCTCCCACACATAACATAACAAAACCAATTTCATAAAGCTAAATAATACATTTAAAAGAATCCATTAAAAAATATAAAATTAAGAAAATGTAAAGTAAAAAAAAAGCAAAAAAGTAAACATAAAAAGACTAATTTGTATCTGAAGGTGTCGTAGTTAAATGTATACATGCGTCATTAATCAAGTTGTTAACTATTTTTTGTAATTTTTATACAATAATTTTGTTTATGGAAGATTCCAATTAATCATATATATTTCCTTTACGTTAAAATAAGTATAAGCATAGAAATTATTTGACGATCATTCTAATATAGCGTGTATAATAGGAATAGCGGCAAAGCTTTGAAGACATACCTCTAGCATCAACGCATCTAGTAGCAGCGAATTAGCGGAAATAACCGTCTAACTCAGATCTTCGACGCTCTCGTTTACCAAAGTTTTCCAATCTTCATGCGTACGTTGCGTTCTCACGTACTTTCACTTTTATCAATGCGCGGTTTCATAACTAACAAAGGGAGGCTCCAGAGTGACCCTCACCGATTTCAATAAAACTTGGTAGGATTGTAGAATGTGTTCCTCTGAATGTAAATTATCCCCTATTTTGAGTAAATGGTCTATCGTTTTCGAGATATTTCAATATAACGGTATTTTCTTTAGAATCTATTAGAACGTTCACACTCAAGTATTTGTAGCGTAGTGACTATGTAACAGTCTTTTAACTTACAGACTCTAGTTCAAAACACACTAGCAATTAATTTTTTTACTATTATATAATAATGTTTTATGATACAAATAATTATTAACGTAAAACATTAATATTTTATCGCAGATTTTGATTACGGATTACTTTTACAGATTTTAGGATAAAAGTTTTGATAAAAACAAATAAAACATAGACTGTAAGCTAACCATGAAGCTGTTACCATATCCTCTCTACTATTCGAATATAAACATTTTAACATAAACTCAAAAATAAACTCCAAATGCCGTTATCAACATTAATACTGAAATATATTGAAAATGTTAGACCGTTTACCCCCAAATGTGGGATTTATATTCCGAGGAATACACTCTACAATCCTGCCAAGTTTCATTGAAATCGATGAGGGTCACTCTGGAGCCTCTTGTAACAAAACGTCATCTATTGTATTGAATAATATCCCGAATATACACAGAAGATATATCTACGTGTTTTGAAGAGATTAGCTTGTACAAAAATATTAGTTATCATAGAACAAAAAAAAACTATTTTTCTATTTTTTAACAATATATAAAAATTGTCTTTCATAAAAAATACACGAACTCATAATAAACTGCGCCTTCTTATAACCTAGAGTGAAGAATAACAACATTCCAACTGTCTTTCAAAGACATACAACATGGACTGCACAAATTGATAAACAAAAATGAGAGAGATAAGACGCGAAAATGGCCAGCCCCTGTTTTTTTCTATTCAATGTAATGTTATTAGAAAGAAAGGGAGAATGGTCATCTTCTCGTTCCTTCTTTCTAATTTTTATTGATTATATTACATATACTTCAGATATGGATGGCGCGGTTCATGCTCAGTATCTCTTATCGCACAGAAAATAACAGAAAATTAACAAGAAAAAATAACAGAGATAAATTATCTTGGCTGTATTCAGTAGAGAAAATAGATCAGTTAGCGGTTAGTGATTCTTTATTAATATGAATAGGTTCTACACTTAGATCCAGCGAAGAATTAAAGGCAAGATCCAATCATATGAAAGAATCACTATTATATACTAACTGATTAATTTTCTCTGCTGAATGCATCCCTTTTCATATCTCTTTCTCTCTCTTTCTCGTTAGTATATTTTTGTAGAGAAGCTCAGTTTATGCATATAGTTCTATAAGAAAAACACACCAGTAACTTTTAATTAATCGATTAAAAAAGGAGGATGTTAAAAAAGTCTGATCTTTTGTTTCCCTTAGTAAATCACAAAAAGTAATTGTTTAAGACTCATGAAGTAATAAAAATACTTTTATAGAAATATAGGGAAAGTGAATTTTTTTTTATTACATTGTGTCTCCTTTTGTAAGTCAAATTTTTGTATATTACGCTATAACTTGTCACGAATCGAACGTTTTGCAAAAGTTTCCCGGAATAATTGATATTTAAAGGTTTTAAAAGTCGCTCATCATGAATCTGTTAAATTAAGGCGGCCGGGTGGTTAGGAGGACCAAAAATTCGATTCTTTTTATTGCACTTTCGGAAAGTTAACAGTCTTAAAAATATATTACTAAAACCGCTCATAAAATACGGAGTTTTTCACGGTTTATTGAAATGGGTAAAAATTAGGTGCGTTAGAGTTTCGATCCAAGGCGAGATAACATCTTGATGAAATCAGCAAAGAGAATTGCTCAAATTGATGAATTTTATAAAGAAGATAAACCATTTTATAGCCTAGAAATCGCTGAATAAAAAAATTTATTGTAAATACTAAAAAAATAGAAGTACTCTAACTTAAAAATTTAAACGTATTTTTCTCGAAACGTATTTTTTAAAATTTGCTGACATGTTGTTTACTAAGGAGAGCCAAAATTCAAACTTCTTAAACGTTTTTCTTTTCTAATAAAGAGATTGAAGGCATGATAAAAAGGAAATATAAATCAAAATATTATAAGAAGAGTTCTCGCGATTATACTTAAGAGTTATGAAACATAGTATTAAAATTGAATAGATTTTATTACAACGAGAATCATATGTATTTAATAAATATATGTTATAGATTCAAATTTTGACTGGTGTGCCAATAAAATAGGCGAAAAGAAAAATATAGCAAATTTGACAAAACAAAAAGCAACATAATTATTATTAAAAACATTAATACAAATATAAAATCCCTTTTTAAATAAGCGTGCATAAGAAATGCATAAATTTTAGACATTTGTCAATAATCACTTATATGAACACAAATTAATATTTCTTAATTACATTAATTGTGGAAAAGAGAAATAAAATATTCTCCAGTAAAAACAAACCTGGATTTCTTGTATTCTATGCGAACGTCTTAAAAGCCTTTAGACTATCGAGGCTTTAATAATATTCTTCGTAATAATTAGCATACATATATGTACCTATAACGTCTATTTCTGGCGATGTATAAATAAACAAATAATATTAAATCTTATAGGACCGTGAGAATTAAAACCAATGAGAAATAAGTCGTAACGTGACCGTTATACATATATTGGACTTTTGCGAAGGTTATACGTGTGAAAGGTAACGTGTGATGCTTAAGAGGATTCTAAAGTCGTCTGTATTACCGACTAAAAGACATAATTTTTGTATCGTAAATACTTTGTCATTCACAGATTCCTGTTTCACAAAATCCTTTTCCAGAATTAAAGTATACGCATTAATACGTGCCTGTGAGGTAGAATCTCTATGCTGAAAATGACAAAAAAATTCGAAATTAAATTCTATTTTACCATTTCTTATAGTCCAATATGGTGCTCCACAGCTGTCACGTGGTTGCACATTGTGACAACATTTACTTCATATAGAAGCTATATGATCTGTACTTACGAAATAGTAGTCTACAGGCAAGTAGTTTGCATGAAGAAACAGCGTAAGTTTTTTAAAATTGGATTTAAATATCTAATTAAAATGTAATTACGATACAAAAATTTATGTATATGTATGGCGTGCATGAGTGAGATATTGAGATAGTGATACGTCAATGACGTAATCATCTGTGTAAGTGCTATTTCCAATATGATTAATCGTTTTTAGGGTGAGTAATTTTAATCAGGCAAATATATCGACAAATATAAAAGATACAGAAAAATTTTTCAGACAAAAGTTGTATGGTTCAGAAGGGGTCATAAAATGGTATCATTGGTTTGATCTTGGATAGTTGTTTGAAAGTCACGTGAAAGTCACCTTTAATTTTTTAAATAAAAATTTCATTTTTTATTGCTTTCTTACATGTCGAGCATCGATAATCGGTATATTCATTGACCATATCGATGACTATTAATAATTACCGACCGACAACGATCAACAATGATAGCTGACAAACATGTTAGCACATGTCAGCACTGATGTCCACTTTTAATGTCTACCTATCATATGAGACATTAATTAAATTAATTTCTCAAACAGAATTATACTTCACACGCTCACTAACTTGCATATTCCAAACAAATAACACTCATATTGTTATTTCCGGGGTATAGTACTATAATTTAACAATATCTTTTATCACTATCATTCGCTATTTAACCACTTAAAAGTTAATATTTTTGCAGAACAATCTTCGACACGTCTTCTCTTTTTGAATGTGAGAGAGAGAGAGAGAGAGAGAGAGAGAGAGAGAGAGAGAGGGAGGGAGGGAGGGA